TATAATTAGTGCTAGAATACTTATAGATATAGCGCTATGTCGCTCACGAGTTATAGCGCTACGTCGCTACTGGGATTCATTAAGACCAGAATACTACTAGTATAATTAGTGCTAGAATACCTATGGATATAGCGCTACGTCGCTGCTGGAATTTATTAAAACTAGAATACTGCTAGTATGATTAGTGCTAGAATACCTATAGAAACGGCGCTATATCGCTGCTAGAATTTATTAAGACTAGAATAATACTAGTATGATTAGTGCTAGAACACCTATAGATATAGCGCTATGTCGCTCACTGGGATTTATTAAAACTAGAATAATGCTAGTATAATTAGTGCTAGAATACCTATAGAAATAGCGCTATGTCGCTACTAGAATTTATTAAGATTAGAATAATATTAGTATAATTAGTGCTAGAATACCTATAGATATAGCGCTATATCGCTTACTAGGATTTATTAAAACTAGAATAATACTAGTATAATTAGTGCTAGAATACCTATAGATATAGCGCTATATTGCTTATTAGGATTTATTAAAACTAGAATACTACTGGTATGATTAGTGCTAGAATACCTATAGATAAAGCGCTATGTCGCTTATGGCATTATTATGCCGGGTGAGATATAGTAAAACTCGGGAATTACCCTACCTATATTTACTCTCCCTAGAGTATTACAGGGATATCACGTGGCTATAGGTGTGTGCCTACCTATGCCCGCCTCGTCTATTTAACCGTACTAGGTTCGTCGGTCAAGTAATTAATAGTCTTATCGACTAAGCAATTGTAATTATTGCTATTATTTTCCTCCTTGCCTATACTCGTAGATCTCGACCTTGTTTATGTATTTAATACCTCTCGAAGTGAGTTAGTGACTTAGGGCGTGCCTTAGTTTTGGGTTATTTGAGCTTTATTATATAAACTTAGTCTTCTAACCTACCCTTACTAATGTCCCCCTTATTGCTAAGGTGGGTTAGTGGAAGTGTATTAAAGAAAGAAAAGGGAAAGGGGAGGAAGAAAGAGAAAGGAAAGAGGGTATTTATAAATATATTAAAGCAGAACTAGCACTACGTATAAGTGGGCTAGAAAACGTCGAAATCGAATGCCTTTATCTGTCCCTATGGGGGGAAACGAGATAGAATTGGCTATAATACTATCCAAATTGTCGCTTTGGCATATCGTGATGGGGAAAGAAGGCAGGAATGGACCGGGAAATGGTTAATATCGTCGGTTTGGCAAGAAGGCTGCACGAAAAAAGTGGAACAAAGTTCTAAGTAGCTTAGGCAGAAATTATCGAAATTATCGCTTTGGTTTTAAGTCTAAGCTAGAAACCATTAAAATCTGTTACTTTATATTTGGGGTATATAAAAAGAGGATAGAGGAGTCTATATAGGCTAGGGAGTATCTAAATTCTCCCTTTGCCTTCGGGGTATATAAGGATAAGGGTATCTAAGTAATAGGAACGGCCGAAATCCTCCCTTTGATTTCAGGGTGCTTAATAAGTAGCGTTATTAGCCTGCGCTAATCCCTAGTCCCCCCCCTAAAAAAAAAAAAAACTCCCTAGCTTACTAATCTATTTTTCCCCGGCCTTTTCTAGCCTCCTCTAGAGCGCCATAATTGCCCCTTATACCGATTCTTTTCCCCGACACGTGATAACAGCACTTATGTAATTTTTAATTTTTTATCTTTTTTTTTCTTTTTTTTTTTTTTTTTTTTTTTTTTTTATAGTTAAGAGGATAGATATCTTCCTCTTTGCACTAAAAGTATGTCTATAAAAGTCGCACGTCGGGACTTTCGGGTATAGAGATTTACTTTATAAGTAGCTATAGCGATAAAAAGAGATTAAAAGGTTAGCGATATTAGGCGTAAGGTTTATTATAGGCTAGATAGCAGAGGTATTCTTTAGTACTAGGAAGTATAGCTAGCGTCTTATTAAATTTGTGCCTATAGATAGTATGTGAGTTAGTAATTATAGTACCTTGCCTAAGTCGCTGAAGTACCCCCCCTTGCTTATAGCAAAGTATTATTCTAAAAGTCATTAAAGCCGCTCTTAAATATATATTATATTAATACCTTAATATTAATACTATATGGACCCTGCCTTTTAAATCGCAAACTAGTAAGAAAGAGGAAAATATCTATGCTCTTTACTATATAGTAATAATAATAAATGCGATCTATAGCAGGCCCGCGTTTATAGCAGATCTCTCTCTAGTATACATATAGGGTAGAGCCGTCTTTAGTATAATACTTTAACGATGCCATATATTAGCTAGTTCCAAATTAAATAGCTCTACTAATATCCCATATTACGTTATACACGCGTTAAGGCGAGGCGGCTTTGACACGCGTAAATAGCAGCACGCCCTAGCTAATTTGCCTACCCTATATCACTCCTATAGGCTACCTCGATTATATATTTTTTTTTTTTTTTTTTTTTTTCTTTTCTTATAATATAATACTAATTAATAATAAGAGAATCACTATTACTAGTATATATACGTTTTATTTTCTAGGCTATCTAATAAAAAAAATAAAAATTAAAATAAAAGTAAAAATAAAAGATAAAAGAAATAAAAAAGAAAGAGGAAAAAAAAAAAAGAAAAAAAAGCTATAGATGCTAATCTAGAGATTAGGCAGTATATGGGGATATAAATAGCTAGCAGAAAAGGCTAATAGCGAATAATTAAGTGCCCCTATAGTCGAGTTTATATCCCAGAGCTATCTAGTGATAGCCTTTTTTTTTAGTTATTATTATTATGATTATTTTATGATTTTTCTGTTTGCCAGTTATGGCCGATATGGTGCTAAAGTACCAGATGCCACGGTAGGAGGCCTGTCCTACCCGATATATCTATCCCGTCCTATTTCCGACGCCTACTGCAATGCGTCTTGCTGCTTTCTGTAAGCCAAATGCCGCTATTTTTAATAGCGGCGGCGATAACGCCGCTGCAAGGCGCAGCCGTCTCCCGCTAGCGCTAGGGCACGGGATGGGTAGTAAAATGGAAGAGATCTAATGTCGCCTAGGACGATAGGCTCCAAGGGTGCGAATGCTAAGCCGACCGTTATATCGCCGATTGCACCGAGTTCTGAAGTAAGGGGGCAGCTTCCGGTTACTCTCACAAGTCCCCATGGGCGAGCCTGTTTCGGACGGCACTTTTCCTTGAGAACAGGGCTCCATGCCATGGGTGTTGTTATCGAAAACAGACAGTTCTTTTTGTTGGATCAGATTCATCTTAGTGGGACCGCCACCCTCCCCCCTCACTTCCACCAGGGGAGCGTGCCTGCTGCAACGGACGGTCGTTGTTCGGATAGCCTGTGGTCTATTCCGGACGGTCCGCGCTCGACTCCCTCCACTCTTCCACGTCGCCCGCCTGTGTTGAGTTTGCCTACCGGTAGTTCAGAAACAGCGCCGCCGTGTCAAAAGAGCTTGCCGAATCTCATCTCGATCGGCCGTCTTGTTGGCCCGGTTATCGCCCGAGGCAAAGTTGCAATTGGGTAGTACCAAGACAAGACAAAGCAGAAGTGGCATCGAAGCTCACCCCCGATGCTCTCTACCGACGTTCAGTTCGTTACAGTGACAACTGAATGTGCTGCAGGTTGATTCACCTCCTCGCGTCTCATTGGCCACTTAGAGAGGACTGCTCCAATTTTTTGTCTTTTTCGATATAGGGTAAGCGATGGCATGTCACTACCGCAACGACGTGGGGGACCGACGAAAAAAGACCAGACATATATTTCACTTTATTGAACCGCCGAAAGAGGTGTAGTAGCCGAGTATGCTGGTGCTTGAATGAGTCAGACACGAAAAGTCTAAAAAAGCTACTTTACTCTGCCAGGTGAATAATCTCCAGGTCCGGCGGAGAAATTCGAGAGTCTGAATCCGTCTGTTTGGCTCCGTTTGACTCTCGTTGGCTCTCTGTTTCTTTTCCCCTGTCGTTGTTCGGCGCTTTTCCTCTTCCTTCCTAGCAGCCTACCCCACTTTTGCTGTCATGATCAATAAATTAAATCGCCAGTGCCGTGGAGCCGAATGTGGACATGGATTACGTCACTCGCATGTTGCAGGGCATCATGTGACGAGACAGGGAGGCTAAAGTCGACGACGTTGGAGAATAGTCGCGGGCCAGGCAGGCGTGGTCTCAGCGGGCTTGATTGCAGCAGGCTTGTCCCTCAAGCACGCAGTGGTAATTTGGGTTATGCTTCAGTTTTTGGCAGCGAAAAATAAGGATAGATGGCAGGCACGATTGCAAAGAGTGCCGGTAATGGCCCATGGGTGTCGGTACTACGTCGACGGGCAGGGATGGGTGGCTGTCGGCTTGCAGGCGGCAGCGACTGCTTTGGACACTCTACTGTCAAAGCTGGCTGAGCGATGGAAAAGGGCCGCGGGGCATAAGACAGACGTGCATTATAGTTGCTGTGGTGGAGGATGGCGGGAAGGGACGGCCGTTGAAGGCTTCCTTGGCGGAAGCGGGGACTGGGATGGAGCGGGGCAGGAGGAGCGGGGGTGGCATGGGATGGCAGGGGGTGGCACGGCCTATTCTGGCTCTTCCGGATGGAGAGTGCAAAGACCTGTGGGCCGGGTAGCCAAAGGGCCCTTGATGGCTGTTTGACAGCAATGAGTTGCACAGAGCAGGCCCAAGCAGGACCAAGCAGGACAGCCTAATAAGGCCTCTGGGAGGCTGCGGGTGTAAAGGGAAGATTTTGGCGGCTTGGCCTCGTAGCCGAGCAGGTTGGTGCTTGAATCAGTTACGTACTGAAAGACTAAAATGGCTATTTGAATCCTCTGTCAGGTGAGTGAGTAATCTCCGGGTGTGGTAAGGAAAGCTTACAGACAGTCTGAATCCGTATATAGGTATTCTTGGTAAAGTATTGGGCTTGCTCTTTCTTCCCCTTTGTCCTCTTCAACCTCAGCCATCCTTCCGTCCCCCTGGTTTCTTATTTCGTCTCTTTGATATCTTGCTTTTCTCTTTTCTACATCTCGCCATCGATTAATTTCATGGGTTCCTCTCGCCACAAACATCGTTACTTCCCCAAGGCGCCTCCTAACTTGTCAGCGACGCTCCCCCGCCAGTCTAAATCGAAGCCCAAGAGATATTTTCAAAGGAGATGGAAAATAGCGGCGCCCTTTCAGAAAGTTCGGCATGACTACCAACTGCCGGCGACTTACTCTCAGGAAGACCACCAATACGTGCGGCACAAGAAGGCCCGCCGCGGTCGGTTGACTGCGGACTATGGCCCGGAAGATCATTACCAGCCAGAGCCTGTACCCCCTGATGAAGACGACAGCGAATCATCTCCGTGCCAGGATGAAGAGTCTGCCCCCCCGCCCCCATTCTTTTTTTTCTTTCCCCGACTCATTTTCCAATTCCCGCGCCCCGATAAACATAATTGTACTTCAACGGAGAACTAATCAACTTGACAGAACTAGCTCTGATGATGATTCTGACCAGGGACAGACCTTACTGAGCCACGCATATTTTGAACATCGTATGCAAGATATAGAAGAGTCTGTAGTGACTTTAAGTACACAGTGAGTCACCTGTCCGCTCTCGCATTGGTCTTGCTTTGATTAGGCATCAAGAAATGAATGTTTACTCATATCTTTGCTTTGTAGACTGAAAAACCTTGATAGCAAGTAAGAAATTGTCCCGTGCCCATTCGGTCTCTCATACATGTCATCGACTCCTGGTTACTTACGCCTTGGCTATTCGGTAGACTTTCAACTTTCGACAACAGGTAAGTAACCTTAAAAGTACCCAGGATCTCGTTACTTACACCTTGGATATTTGGTAGATTTTCAGATTTTGACAACAGGTGAGTGTCACAAGGACATTTGATACTTTCGCCGTGTCGTCAAACCATGAATTGCTAATACTTTCATGACCTACCGCGTAGATTAGCGGCTTTTGGTAGCAAGTGAGTACCCGCAGTCTGTTTGTTTATTGCTTTTCGTGGCTATCTTGTTCTTACCATAGCCTATATGATAGAGTTGAGTCGTTGGCCAAAAAGTAAGCTCCTTTCCCCCACGTTTGAGATAATTACTTGGGGTTGCTCAAATAGTTCCCAGTATGGATACATTTCCGGAACGATTTAGCCAGACTGTAGTAAAGGCGTTCCTTGACAGGGACATACGGGTCATGCAGGACGGCCAAGACCGAATGGTCCCCTCAAGGGTAGACCAAGCGGTGAATTCTTCTGGATTGATAAACAACGGAGGGAACGGCAATTGGGTTGATGGAGGCATTTGTTGAATATGCTGGGATGTCACGCATGGGTCAAGGATCTCGAGATCAAAAAGCAGGTCCTTGAGGAGCAGGCTCTTAATGATAGCGCCCACAACACAAATATGCTCATTTTACTTAGTTAGTGAATGGAATAAAAACACCGTATGGAAAAAGACAAGGTGTCGTGAACACATATGGCCCAAACTTCGGCAGGCGTTAAGGGTACCATGTGTGGTAGCATGTGGTACTGAATGTATACCCTGAGCCAGGGATGGCCCGATTTCGTGCTCCTTCTTGATCTCCTTGCGCTGCATCTTGTACCTAGGCCACATCATCAGTAGAAATTGAGCTCCAAATGACTACGATTCCTCACCCGCGGCTACATAGTTTTCGTACCTTTTACATGAAAGACGAGAAAAGAAAGAGAAAGTCAACTAGACTCCATTACGCTGCAATAAAAGTAGGTATGAGGGGACAATGTTAGTAGAAATCTGACATTGCCGCCAATCATACCGTGAACTCGATAATGACAGACATTGGGGAAGGACCGTAACGCTTCGCCGTACCGCCCGTCGAAATAAAGCTTACTGGTATGTCATGGTTGTGAATTGTTGTTAGAAACCTTATTGGCTCGGGGTTGTAATCGCTGCTGAAACATGCTTCTGAGTTGACGCTCTTCCACGTTATACTTCCGTAACATGGCCTGAAGCTTATCCACATGATACTCTAATGCAGGGACGAGCTCCACAAGCGCCTCGTTGATCAGTCTTTTATAGTAGATACACTCGTATTGAATGATCCTGACGTGCCGTCTGAGGTCTGCTATGGAAGATGCTCTGCGACCATTACGGGAGCCTCGAAGCTTTGCTGCGGTCGTTCGGAGAGGGGCCACAAAAGGGAAGGGTCCTTTGTGCTGTTCTTTATTCCGGATGGAATCCCGATTGATACTCGAATTCCTCCGGTTCGTTTGTGGGCTTCCTACGGTGCGGTGGCCTATATCACTTTCCCACATGGCTCCCGCCCGCATAGAGGCATTACCCCTGTCTCCTTGTTTGCCTGTATACAAGCAAAAGTCTAAACTGATACTGGAACTCTTTCGTTCTGGATGCATATGCCCATTCAAAATGATATTGATATCCTTGTGCCACGTGCAGTTTGCTTGTTCAATAACGGTGTTGCCCTTCCTGACGACCGAACGGAGACCAAGAACTCGTCGCTGTATTTGGGGGATCGATTGTAGTAGTACCCGATAAACTAAGCTTCTATTCAACGCAATTGACTGTCTCATTCTCGTGTTCTCCTGCATCAGTGATATCTCTAGTGCTTCAAGTACGGAGCTGGAACCGGACTCGGGAGGTTCTGGTAACGGGCGGTCTTTCAAATTTGATTCACGAGAAGGCTTTGTGCTTCCTCGGTCGTCTCTTGGCACCATCGCACCGTGATCTTGGGCCTTGTGCTGCCCATCTTGCCTACGGCGGGCGTACTGGTTGTAACGAGGATAGCTTTGGGTTTGTGATTGATCACTAGCGATGGCGGTATCTAGATCTGTTGCAAATTGGTTGTTATGTATAGAGAAACGCAAACTAGTGATGCGGCAATGAACTGATGACAGGAGCTCCTTCAATACATCACTAACCAAAGTTGAGAAGTAGTTGCTTTCATGCTGCAGGCTTCCGTTCTCTCGATTCAATTCTGTGATTCTTTGTCGGATTGCAGCCTGATTATCTTCTCGTTGTAATCTGCTGACGGATTGATGAAAAGCGCTTGTAGTGCCACCAAGCCAGCGTATCTTATAATCTATTTCGTGGGTGGATGATGACACTTCCTCGCAAACCCTGACGCAAGATTCATGACAAGCGTGAGATTTCATCGATGTGAAGCCCTGAGCGAAGTTCTAACTTCAGTAATTACTATCCCCAAGCCTTGGGGCAGGCCCTGATTTTATTCTGAAATGCGATCAGTTTCCATTAGTTTGGCGCCCGTCCGGAATGGGCTTCTTTCGATCGATCCAATTTGGTAGCGGTCACAGGGCAGAATTCGGACTGATAAGTGCGAAGAGAGGCCGCGCATCCTGTAGTCCTGGTCATTCTCGATAGCTCGTACCGGTATTGTAAAATAGGATATACTCGGAATTGTACACTCTTCCCGTAACGTATTCTGAAACGGCGGCTATTATGCTCATGGGTTCGTAGACTAGTTCTATCTAGTTACCAGTATGTTTATTTGTTTGTTTGTTTGTTTTATTCATAGACTGTCCCAGCCGCCCTAGTGGCAGCTATGCAGCGTACAACTACAGATACAAGAGTTCCCGCTCCACACTTCATGGGACAAGCCGTTTCTTGTCCAAACTGCTTCCCTTTCCGCTCGGACGCGGTCTCTCTGGTACCAATAGTCCTAATGACTGTTCTGTGTCTCTGACTTGTCAGGCCTTTCCTGGCCCGCTTTTGCTTCTGTATACCGATAATCACTCGTCTGCGGTAAATTAAGCACTGTGGATGGGGCGGAGGGCCCGTCCTGCGATGATCTTGGTTGCTTGTTCTGTATGTCTGCAGTGTGCTTCATTGAGTGCCGATGTGACCGTGTGTGTGGCAGCGGGAGTGTGTGTGGCTTGCTTGTTGATGTGTTCCGGGTCTGTGTTGACTTGAGGCGTGTAGACGTTGTTATAACAAAAGACGCGTCGGGACGCGTCTTGTGCAGTAACGGTCTGCTGGGGCACAGGTTAACTGTGAGGTTGCAAAATATGTCGTGTTTCGAATTGAAGTACTGAGCTGTTGGTGGTGTTGTTGTCGTAGTGATGTCTATTTGTTGAGTAATAAGTCGTTCAACCACCTCCGTCGCCGCTCCTGCGCGTCCTCATTGATCTCGAAAACCGTAAACCGTTGTCGGGCAGGACAAATGGAGTACCCAAGTCCATTCTCCATCGTGGGGAGTACATGAGAAGGGCGCAACTCCCTCTACCGTACTGGGGCTGTAATGTTTGGTGTTTCGTGAGGTTCGGAGGCTCAGCTTTCGGCGCGTCGGCGCGTCGTAGAGAGGGGGATAATCGCGTCGTTGAACTCCTCTTGGCACCCAGAGACAGTCGAACTGTTTCCGAGAGTTCCCAGCGGACACCACGTGGAGGTGGGAGCTCGTCGTCCGCCTCTAGTTACCAGTATTATCTAGTTCGAGCTAGGGTACTTTATCCGCGCTTTGTGCCGTGGTTTCTGACAACGCCGTTGGGCAAGATATTAGGTAGGTATAGCCTTGGCTATCAGATGTACTGTACAACTGCAACTTTAGGAATTTAGGGTTCTGTGCTGTAGTATTGAGATCTGTTCACTTTCGTTGTAATCTGGCAACGAAATAGGGGTCCTGGTAGACAGCTTGACCCGTTTACGTGAAAGATACCATGGTCAACGGCTTCACAGAAAGGTGGGGAAAAAGAGGCCAATTTTATCATGACCTACTGCTACATATAGTCCGTAATAATCTGGGCCGTATCAAGCCGTTTCCTAAAATTTCTGGAGAGTAAGAAGCCTTTATGGGCTGTAGGTAAGTTTTTGCACACCGGAATTGGATCAAGTGTTCGTGATGATCGATACAACGGCTTTCCAGTCCCTTTTTGACCTAACCATGACAGAATTCTCATACGCACTACTGATTATTGGGCCGCTGGTTGGAGTATTTTAACCTAGTCCCATCGCTGCCTCGCTCTGGAGGGATTTTTTTTTTCTGGCATTAAACAGCGTGACGCATCCCCTTCGCTCTCAAGTATGCAGCGCAATCTATATAACCACGAGAGACTTTTCGACTTGATGAGCCAGATCTCTGAAGCCTCAGGTGAGCTTGAAGGGGTATGGAAACAGTTAAGCGGGTCTAACGGTTGATGATAAAGACAGCGAATACGACTCAGGCGATAGTGATAGTCCCGGCAGTCTTGTTGATTTTGTAGTCCCGGACTCTGAAGAGGACACTGGGACTCCGGCACCACAGACCCCAATCAACCCAAGACCCACACCTAGTGGCGGATACGGCCGGATCAAGAGGGGTAGGAGACGTAGGTTGTATGATGCTGCAATAAGTTCTTCAGACCGGAGTTCGCCATCGTCCCCATGTCTCCGGGGAAGAAAGGCCTCCTGGGATAGCTCTCTGCCACGGAAGATTGAAAAGGCTATTGGAACGCTAAATAGGTTAAAACGCTGTCTAGAAGACATACAAGAGGAGATAGATCATCTAGGAGATATCGCTATACCCCTCAATACCTGATCAGACATATTTTCTCCCCTTGATCTTAATCGATGCTTCACTATTCCTTAACCCCACTACCATAATCTTGCTGACAGCGTCTGAGTATTCATATTTCTTTGTTTCAAAGTCTGTCGGATGCAAAGGAACTTCTCCAGACACCACTCTCTGCCACCTATTACGCTCAGCTCAAGTTAGCTTTGAGCGCATCAGCTGTAGAGTATGGGGTTGTCGGTACAGGTTGAATTTCCTTGGTTTTTCCAAGTGAATGTTTAACTCCTGATAGGAAATATATTTCAAAATATAGTTAACCCGAATGTTCCGTGGTGCTTTTGTTGAGGTATGAGTTCAACTTTATTCGATATCAGCAGCATGATTGAAGGACTCCGAAAGATCTGAGACTGAAGCCGGTCCTAGTTTTAACACGGCTTCTTCTCTGAGAAGGACCTGAAAGCGCTGAATCATGAGGGTTAGTGGTTAGTAGAGCATTAACAAAAGGTTGGTTCTAGATACGGGATGCGGCACGAAGAAGAATAAGGAGGACAAGGTCAATACAAACAATAGATATAACATGATGCATTGACGCACGTGATACATTTACCCGTGTTCGTGACATGAGGGCTTTTGTGTGCTAGATGAGTAGTGAATAAATCAGGAGCGGTCTTCAGTAAATCAAGGTTTCAAAGGCATATGAGATGGTGCGTGTACGCCGGAATGAAATATTCCCTAGCACGCATGGGCTGGCTCATAGAAAGTGATAGTACGCTTGAGCCGGCTCAAATGATGAGCTGGTCCAGCCGTGCCAGCAGGTCATGTGCGCCAGCACACGTGTGCTAGCGAACGGGCTGCACCGGTGTATCCATGCCAGCACATGGGATGTGCTGGCACAAATACATCAGCACGCCCTACTAGCCAGCATGTCCGTACCAGAGTGGATGAGCTGGGATGGGGTATGCGCCAGCGTACCCGTTGTGGCGCATACAGACTGGGTTATGTGTGCTGGCGGCCTCGGTCTGGCAGACATGCGCTGGTACACATGTACCAGCGCATCTAGGGCGGCACGCACGAACTTGGCTATGTGCGCCGGCGCGCCTGAAACAGTGCACATGCGCCAGCACGGCCCATGTGCCGGCATGGATACACCGGTGCAGCCCGTTCGCTAGCACACGTGTGCTGGCGCACATGACCTGCTGGCACGGCTAGACCAGCTCATCATTTGAGCCGGCTCAAGCGGGCAAGCACGCCCTATGCACTGGCTCACGTGCTCTAGTCCATCTTACGTGCTGGCTCGAGTGGCCTGTTGCGTTTTATGAAGCTGTACATATGTTCTGGTTCATTTCCTTGGGAGTGGTTTATTTATCGCCACCGGTGCTTTCTTGCAACTTTGCCCTTTTCCTTGGTCGCGTATCAAAGCTATTCTTTTCCAAGAAGTCATTTTCCCCGTAGATGAACCGGTCTTTGAAGAGGACTATGAGCCGGTTCTCCTCTTCTTTCTCATTCTTTAGTGCTTTAAAGCATGAATGAGGCACCAATGTCTTCTCATGGTTATCGACCATACTATAGCCATTTACCCTAAACATATCTAGCCATTCTTCCAACCTTCTCTCCGTCTTCACAATCCTCGTTCTCCTCCTCAGCTCGACCAGAAACGTCATTTGGCTCTGCTCGTAGTCGAATATCTGTGATGTGGCGGCTAAGACGGCCTGTTCGGAGCCCGTCGCGACCGGACCATCCTGGTAAGGGCTTGCTTAGCCTGATATTTCGTGCGGTTTCGAGAATTTCATCTTACCTGTTGAGTATTTGGTTGCTCGTATTGTGTTTCTAGATTCTTAGTCTGCTGAGATTGTTCTTTTATGGTTTCGTGCTGCGCCCTGTTAGCAAGGAGCCGACCTGGGGCAGAACTACTCACCAGTTGATTAGCTTGGCCTCTCAATTCTAGGATCTTGGACTCGAGTGTGTTCTTGTCGTTGTCTAGGGTTACTAGTTGCCCCCTAACATCCGCTGCTTGTTTTTGGAGCTCTGTAAGATGGGCGCTCTCCGTTTCAACTTCCATCTTGATTCTATTAAGATGTTCTGCCTCTGCAGTGCTTTTCAAAGCAAGCGCCTGATAATCACTGCAGAGATTGTTGTAATTTAATTTTTGAGCCTCTATTTTCTCACTGAGCTCTTCCTTGGACCTCTCCATCTGATACCCGCCAATTTCGATCTCCCTGAGCTGGCTATCGAGCTCTTCACGCTGCATTGTATCCTCTTTAATTCTTTGCTGTAGTTCGGAGATTTGGGCAAGAAGTTGGTCTCTCGTCTTCAATAAATCTTCATTGTTGTCTTGAATCCTAGGCCGGTAGGTATCGTCAACAAGGTCATGTTCACCTACGACAGCAGCACGGTTCATTAGAACGTCGATGCCCTGTGGGTGATCCGGAAACATATCGAAGTAGAGTGATCGCTGAATAAAGAAAAAGGAGGATCCAGGACTGTTCGGATCAAAAGGTTTGTGAAAGTTGGAGAGAAAAAGCGAGCCCTTGTACAAATCCAGGTCCCCGGGATGAGGCCTGCCGCACAGGTAAGGTTTTGTGTCGTAGTCCGGGTCCGAGACGTCATTAGACTGCGTGGACGATGGCTTCCAGCACGCAGTGGCCAATATGTCGGAGATCTGTTCCGACCGACATCCAAGTTTATGGGCAAGCACAGCCAGCTTGAAGAGCTTCTCTTGATCCGTACGACTCTTGGGCCCGGCCCGTTGTTGTTTGGTCTCCCGAGGTATGGAGGGATACTCGCGTAGGGCAAAGAGCCACAGCTGTCTGCAAGCGAGCTCGAATTGGTCAGTGCCTTCTGCTTCAACCAGCTTGCAACGATTTTCAGACACCTGTAACAAGCATAAACCGCCTTCTCTCTCCTCGAAACCTTGGTTAAGGTCTTGCCATAGGTCCCGAGGCTTGCAATCGGCACGAACAAGGTTTCTGAGGCAGTCGACGACTTTCTGCAAGTACACAACGTTGCCGTAAAAGATTTTGAGTGTGGGAGCCGACCGGTCTCGGGTAGCTAGCTGAAGGCGATCCAAGATCGTGCGTCGTTCTTCTGCGTTGAAATTACTCAAGATCTCCCCGTTCTCGGCAAGCTCTTCGCGATGCGCACTGCTGGCACCCGGTGCTTTCCCGCTAATCTGCTTTATCGTGTTCATGTCTAGTCTCATCTTTTTATCCGCATCATGTTGACAGACGTCATCCCAGAATTCGAACACACGCTTGATTTGATTCTTGGTCTTGTTATGTAAGTAGTCGGAACGCGTGATGCTACTATCCAGGTACTTACCTGCCGCTTCGGCATGGATATAATCTTGCTCGTGCTGCCAATACTGAGCCCCCAGAACAGAGCGGGGATCTCGTGGAAGGGCTTGAAAACATCTCTATAAGATGTTGGACCAAACCACAGTCGTCTAGCATCTCTAGCTTTTGATTCAGACTTGCGGCCAAGCAGAGCGAACCATTTGTTGACAGATACTGGATCAGATTCAGAATCATGCCTTAGCCAGTGCAGAGTCATACGGTAGAAGAATTCTGCGTCAGTGATTTGCCTTTCGTTTGATTGCTCATCAGCCAAGTCGTTTCTCGCCTCATGGCTAAGGTCTAAACCATTACGTGAGTCTTGTTTCTTTTTCCACACATTTGCGTTGGAGGGTCTCCCATACCTGCTGCGTAAAGGCGTACAATCCAACGTTTATTTCGGTTTGTGACTGTTGCGTCGGCTGCCAGCACCCGGTGCTGGCCTTTCAGACAATGGACGCAGACGCCGGGAGCGAAATTCAGTTCCACAAAATCTCCTCCCGCTCTTTTGAGCCTTTCATCCGGGATTCCGGCGAACTGTAGAGCTTCACTAAGTTTTGCCGGGTCAATCAAGGCTGGGATCTGATGGCTGATTTGATCTGGTGACCAGCCGCACCCCCGCCGGAACAAGTTTTCCAAGCTATCAACATTCTCCTTGTCGGGCCCACCGCCCAGTGGTTTCTGGTGTTGACATAAAGAGAAGTCCAAGGCCTCAAATCTGATACTGGCTGTGCCTAAGAATTTCCGCTGCTTCTCGTCACGCAATCTTCTGTTCTGATCGAGGAAGGCCATGGGGGCATAAGGGTGAGGGTTGCAGTAGTGGATTGGAAGGCGGGGGAGAACTACAAATAGGGCGAAAGGAAATGGCAAAAAGGGGCAGGAAAGGCCACGGATGGATACCTAAGAACGAGCCAAAAAAGATTTTCGTCCTGATCACGATTATGCTCATTCCAAACGCCGTTTACTGTCGCTTGGTTGCCTTAGACGTGGAAGCCGGGCTACAGATATGTCGGGAATGAGAAATGTATATCATTACACATTGCTGCTTATCCGCAGAACACCTTCTGTTATTGTATGTCAACATACGCCATGGGCTCTACCAATGAACGTGGCATGGCTGTCAACAAGAGACACACGCGGCTTGCGGATTACTTTGCCGATAGCGATGTCATTCCTGACATCAAGGATAAACCACCAAAGATGACAGCACCCCCAGACCATGTTTCCACTGCTTTGAGCATCCCCGAAAAAAGAGCAAAAACTCTCTCCAAGAGCCAACCGGAGATTCAACCTAGAACAGCACCAGCACCGCCGAAACGGGTAACCTTTGCTGATCTGGCTACTATTCAAGAAGAAGCCAAGACTATGGCAAATGCCGAGAAACAGAGGGAGGACACCGGAGATACCTCATCCTTAACCGTCGCAAGAAATGAGGCGAGTTTGCTAGAACAACACTACGAACCGTACTTCAACATTACCCTAGGCCGGCATATGGACTTGGTGGTGGCGGGGACGAAACAAGCGGCACCAGATCCAAAACAGACAAGCGTTATTCTTTGGAATATAACTGGGCCGTCGGGCCGAGATCAAGTGTCAGTGGTTCGAACAATCAATCACAAAAGCTTCGTCAGAGGGCTGGGAGTTTATCCTACACCAGAAGCTTTCGTCGTGGCATATGAGTTTTTGCCGATGTCTCTTTTGGAAATCGCCACGTCTCGTAAGCTCCGGGGTCCTGAGATGGCCTGTATTCTGAAACAGGTGAGAGCATCTACGACCTTTGACGTTAACGGATTATTGACATGCACTCAAAGATCCTCGACGGCCTCCTGTACCTCGAGGAGCTGAATTTAGGTCTCCCAGAATTAACCTGCTCAAACATACTGCTGGATACTTCAGGCCAGGTCAAGATCTGTATGCTCACCTGTATGGGCTTTAATTACAATGTAGCTAATCGTTTCCAGGGGGGCAGCACTTTTGCCGCTATGGTATAGCCGACAATCTGGTTGCTGGTCTTTGGCGTATCACCGCAGAGCTCATGATCGGCTACGATGAAGGAGACTTGGAGAAGATTGATTACATCAAATGGACGGCGTATCCAGATGCTGTTGATTTCTATGAGTTCATGAAAAAGCAAAAGGATTCGATGGATGAACCACAAGGCCAAGAAATGACAAATACCAAGTCCAAGCACAGCAGATTCGAGAAAATTATCTCGGTAAGCAAAGCTCATTGCTACCCGAATAGCCGTGAATTAACCAAAGGCAAAGCATAAATTCTGGAACACGGCCAGTAGACCCCAAAAAGTAGGAGCACTGTCGCAATTAGTCCAGTACACACACAGATGGATAGTGAGTGAGTATACTAAGGGTACTTCTATCTGAAATTGTGGAGTACTTTTGAATAGTAGCCTTTAGCGTACAATGAGTTGCATCGATGCGTCAGGTGTGCTTGGTTTAGAGATGTTGTTTAACTAGGCGGTAGTTCTGCCAGTTACCTAGGTCTAGCCTTGGTTTACAACCCGTGTTAAATCTCGCACTTGCAAAAATACCAATGTAGCATTAACGTAACCTCGCGAAGCACTGTATCCACGTTTTCATCTGCGGTATATTTTCTTTTATTAGTAGCTGCATTACTGCTCAGGGACAAAGGTTATGAATTTAGACTGAAGAGGACGAAGGAAGTATAGTTTTATGGTTGATAATCTGTAAACACTAAATCAACAGCACGAGAATGTTCTCTCGCAAAATCGACAAGCGTGTTCCTCGTAGTTCGTGGAACTGATGCTTTGCAAATGGTCAGCCACGCCCGGTGCTTACACGAAAAGTCTTACCTGCTATTAGAGTTGGTTTCCCGGAGTGATCATGGGTCGAACTCATAACGGTCTCACTCAAGAGCACGTTCCTAAGAGGTAGCTGGCATTGGTATACCTTGACTCTCGTCTTTCCACCCATTTCTTCCTCTTTCTTCTTCATGTCCTTAATGAAAAGTTGTACTTTCGGGGGTAATGGTTCTGCCTCTTCGTAGTACATGGAAATATTGACTGCATGGGAACGGCTTTTGCTCATCACACCCGCTTCTTTCCCTTCCCCTAGATTGTCTTCCTTTTCATCGAGAGCAAGGGCGAAGTCGATAACATCGAAAACGGCGTGTGATTGTTCTACACATTCTGTAAGCCAAAAACAGACAGCTAGGAAATGCAGAGAGAGAAAGAGAAAAGCCTACTCCAGGATGGAATCTGCCAGACTAGATGTACAGGTGCAATACGGACTTCACGCATACGGGCTGCGTGCACTAGCCACTGCAGGTAAGGTGTGAGAGCCACAACACCTAAACCTGTCGCTATTAATATGATCGTCTCGTAATTTTCAACAGTGATTCTGCTTCCATATGGTCCCGTGAAAATGCCAATATTTGACGTCAACCCAAGCTCCACTCTACCCCGCAACGTCTTCGTCAAGCCGTTATTGACCTCTACAAATAACTTGAGCTCTTTTTGAGCGTCCGGTGACCAATTAGCAACCGTGAATGGATGGCTTTGGATGCTTGATATAGGACCAAGAGGAATCCATAAGTTGATGTACTGCCCGGGCTCGACCTTGACCGGCTTGCGAAGCGTCAGCTTGACCTGGATGTAATCAAAGCTCCCGTTCTTGCTAAGGGAAACCGATTGAAACCAGAAATGGTTTCTATACAGAGTCACTAGAGTCTGAAGTGCGAGGGAGGAGAGAAAGATGCCAGCAATACCATAGAGGAATACTCGAATTCGGTGGTTGTCTGCTGGTATGTGACGCCATATGGCATAGCCAATCATGACTGACATAGAGTGATGCGTGAAAAGCAAGAACTCATAAGGAAATACTGCTGGCAAAGCCTTCATAGGTATCAGCATAAGATAAACACCAAGAAGAGCCTGGCTGATGTTAGCATCCCATATTTCCATGTTCTTGGGAAGACCACTACCAGAGCAGCAAGAAGATTATGCGTCTCATCCATTGCAGACCATCCATATCTTGAAAAGATTCCAGCTGCATGGATGGTACATAGTACTGCAACCATGTAGCCAGCGGTCGCATGAATCTGTTTTTGAATCCGAAGGCGTAAATGCAAGACCGTAGCGACAAAATCGAGACATGGGCCGACGTAAAGCAACACGGCATTGATTACTGCTAATACACCTGCTCGAGAGAACGCTTCTGCGGTGTCTAATGTGTTTATGAGAACATAGCCAAGGTTCGATACGAGATACGAGAGGAAAAGAATGGTGTGGGCTCTGGTAAATGTATCCAGGCTGCTCCCATGACGGAAAAAGCTCCTATATACCAGGTGCTTCACTGACCACTGAGAGACTCTCTTTCTAATGCGATAGAAAGCTTGAAAATTCCATATTTGAAAGGCAAGAGGGCATATGAAGCGGAACACTGTCGCGATGGCACGTCTCAGAGCCAGTAGGCTGAGTATAATCGCTAATCCAAACGCATACCAGTCGGTAATGCTGAAGTCAAGTTTCATGTTTGTGCTGCAATCGAAGCTTTAGTGGCTCTGGCACAGCTCAAGGCCCGAGGAACCTTTTAACACTTTTTTCCCCCAAGTTCTTTTTCCTAAAAATCATGCCAGACAACCCCTGAAGCTGATTTTGACCTAAGCTTAGAAAGAATTTCAGGAAAGATGATGTCTTTGACGTGACGTAATAGGGTTGGTCTTTTTTTTTTTTTTGACACGTTTTGGCTCTACGCACATGTCAAATCCATAACGATACTCCAAGCCGCTATTGATTGCGTCTACAAATGATCTTTCCAATATATGCTTATGGATTGCGTTCGAGAGTCGTTGCAGGCCCAAAATTGCCCACTACCACGGAGGCTCCCTAGACGTTCATCCTCTTTAACGCTCCTTTAGGCATTTTTCAGTCAGATACGGGCAGGAAACGCTGATAGCTGAGCTAGTAAGGACTCAGTAATGCCTAAAATGTGACTAAAGTATGTCCCTTGCGGCAGAATTGAGCGAAGATGGAGTAGCAGCTGTTTGCTGCTGTTGAAGATTAACAGCCGACATGTTCCTTTCGTTGAATTGCTTAACTTGATCCGGAGCGCTTTCGTTGATAGCCCATGAATCATCGGTTGTTTTACTAATTTGATTAGTCGGAAGATCACTCCACCTGTATGAGTCGGTCGATAGTGCCAGGCTGTAAGGATGATGTTTAGGGTGAGACCTACTGGTAGTTCAATTTTGAACGCTCACTCTTTGGATCACAGTTGTCTACTCTAAATAGCCCTCTGACCTTCGGCTTAGCCTTGCTTCTGGTTGTCCGTTGTGAGGCAACCGTGTATGGAGTTTTGATCGGCGTTTAACAAGGTGAATTGTCTAACTTTACCAACGTCCTGCGCACCGCCTCCACGTAGTACCTCGTTGGTTGACCATGTCTTTTATGCAACTTATTCTAGAGGGACTGAGCATGAGCTTGGGCGCATTGTTCATAACAGTTTTCTATTTAAATTCCGTCATCTTAAGTGATCTGAATACAATATTGCGTCGTGTGAATCGACCGGCACGTTATTATAAAGAGGGTCGTAATGCTGAATGGGTTGATTTTGGCTGTAGATCGTACGCTTGGATTTTTAGCCATTTTCGGGAGCTTCAATGGCAAGAATAAAGATAGGTCAACGCTATAATACGGTCGTGTTTTGCTGTGGGAAAATGTGATGCATATCAAACTAACTACCGGTAATCACAACGGAACCAACCCCCCCTTCCTCTTTTATTTTTATTTTATTTTTATTTTTTATTTATTTATTTTATTTAAAGACCTCTCGTACTGCTATAAGCTCGCGTGGCTGCACTTCTCGTCAATTCCTTCTTCTATTCAATTCGCTCTGTATTAGCCCTTCGCTTTATGTATGGTACATGGGAAAATGTCTGCAACAAACGCGTACGCTGTCGAAGTATTCACTCTTCTTGGCCTCGGGACCTTGATCATCGGAGTTCGAACATACGGCCGCACCCAGCTAGCGGGCATACGAAAACTGGCGCTCGACGACTACCTCATGCTTTTCGTCACTATACCCTATATAGCGGAGATAGTCCTTGCCTATACGGTCAAGCATCGATTTCATGGCCTTGCCAACAACGCAATGACTGATGACGAGCGCGTTTCGCTGCCAAGTACGAGTGAGGAGTATGAATGGAGGCAAGCATTGTTCTATTGAGGTCCTGCGAGCCTCGAATATCTTGGCGCTAACGTGTTGGAACGTGAAGAGTTAAAGGGTCGAAGATTCAAGTGGCGGGCTGGGCTGTCTACGCAACAGTTCTTTGGCTGATCAAGAGTTCCATGTGTGCCTTTTACAACCGGCTAACAGTAGGTTACGCACCGATAATAGCTCACAGCCCGCTTCTTGTCTAATAGACTTCTCTTCCAGAATGGCCTGCCGGAATACAGAAGACGAATACGTTGGGGTTTTATTCTCATAGCTGCTACCTACTTAGTCGTCTTGGGTGTCATTCTCCTCGGCTGCCAGCCGCTCTATCGACTCTGGCAGATATACCCCGATCCAGGAAGTGAGTACCGACTTCGATTTCGTATTCGAAAATTCTTTTGATTTGAAACTCACTCAGAGGACTATCCTATTATACTATCTTAAGAATCCACTATCGCCCTATGCCTCGTTTTCGGCCTAGCCCTCTTTTCCACTAATGCCTTGGTTTGTAGACTTTTGCCAACCAGCAATTTCAAAGTTACTAGTCTTTCTTGTGCTCACTTTGAACGTCATCACCGACGTCTACCTCTTAATCCTTCCAATCCCGGCTCTGCGGAAAGCACAGGTCACGAGGATTAAACGAGCAGTGCTCGTGCTCCTCTTCTCTGGTGGAGTTTTCGTCATGGCTGCTGGAATCCTCCGATGCGTCCTGATTATCAAGGTTCGCTGATACATCCCAACGGCGCTCGAGTGAGTACTGACATCAACCCAGAATCCTACAAAAGGCCCACAGCAAGCGGCATCCTGGGCGGTACGTGAGTCATTTGTGGCTATTGTCACCTCTAGTATTCCGGTGATCTGGGGTTGGATGAAGCAGAGACTGAAGCCCCTCTTTTCCTCGGCGGCTATCCCAACAGATCCACGAGAAAGCGAAGATGCTGGATATATGACAACTCTAACGCCCAATGGAATACAAGGTGCGACGACTTGTCGTAGTCCATCGGCAATACCGAGTAGTTCTACCCGCAAGAGCGGGCATTGGGCTACATGTGCTTACGCGCCGGCGAATTTATCAGACTCCTTCCAGCCAGGGAACAATGTTGCCGTATCAACACATGTTACTGTAACGACATCAACGGTGTAGCAGCTTTGAGGAAACAGGGGAGAAGAAGAAGGAGACGGACAACACTATCCTGAATCAAACTTATGAATAAGTTACTGTGATTTATTTAGCTATTTGGATAGCTAGATAATTATTTACCTATCGGTTACGAACCAATTCTGATGGTTTGATGTAAGGACTCTTAGCCAGGTACCCAGTACTCCTCTGATGCGTTGGATGGCGCCCGTTCTCAAAGTCAAGATATCTTGGAGCCAAGCTGCGACTATGGCAAATGTATTACAGACCGCTCTCAACCTGTTGATTGTTATTACTTTCCCTTGTGACATAGGCCGGATTTAGGCTCTGGCCTAATACGTAGCTAACCTAGATATCTACGGCGTAGGGATCTTGGTGGCTTTTAGTCTGGCGGTACCTTCGTGCTAAACCAAACGACTGCTTCATCCTGGTAAAGGGTCCAAGCAGTGGGAATTTGTATGCGAAAAGGATTATTTTGCCCATTGGGGAACTCCTGTACTGATCCCGTTCGCACAGGCAGGTAGGTGTCCTGAGCCCCCCTTATCATTCTAGCCATTTACCTCCATGATTGATTGCAATGATTTGCTAGACAAAGACAATGCCTCTCATCTTGGTAGTTCGTCTTGGGTCTACAATAGACTACACACCATATAAAAGCTGGAATCAAGGCTAGCATACTTAATAAGAGAGCTGGAATAGACCTGTCATGATACCGGGCTCTGGCTTGGCTTAATTTGACTCGTCGAGGGCGCTGCCTCGTCGTCCTCTCGACATGATGAGATTGCACTCACTTGCATGATCTTGTTGGTGACTAATACCGGTAGTGCTATCGTTTTACGTTAATTAGATCAGCATTCAAGTCAAACACAACCCTCTTGGACCAGAGGCTAAGTGTGTTTTGTCTGGTTACATTTTGATACCCATGTACGGGCTTCAATCACACTTAGATTGACTCCATTACTTTAACCAATAAGACACCATGATGATCCTGTAGCTGATGAAGATACAAGACCATCTTATCTACCTATCTTCCTGAGCCTCTGTAAAAGCCACGTCTAAGGATAACTACATATTTTAGAAAGCCGTGCAGTTGGCCAGCCACTTTTTTTTCTCCAAGGTAATGCGTCGCAAAGCACGCCCGCAGATCAGGTCTACTTGATATGCAACTTCCGCAGAGCGCTCCAAAGTTTGATATATAGGCGCCCAAATACTTTGTAACTTCTTAAGCTCGGACTCAAGGAGTGTTATTTTCTGTCTAAGCTCGCTGGCTAGCTGCATTTGATTCTCGATAATCGGGGAAGAAGGAGAAATTAGGACGGTTTCTAGGTGGAACGGATCGTCAGAGTATAGACTTGAAGACGGTCGATATTTCTCATTCTCAATGATTGGGGAAGAAGGCGGAGAAAGGACAGTTTCTGGGTGGAACGAACTGTCGGAGTATAGACTCGAACACGATCGATATTCGGAATCCATACTAGACGAGAGGGCGGAATCGTACGGCGGACTTTCAGGGGGTGCGTATGACAACAGATGATATATATAACTTTAGCCACTTACCTTGTTCCGCAACACTAATCATGAGTACGCCACTTCGACGGAAACGGCCCTTCTGTGTTGTCAACAGGCGAGGCTCCAAATATGCAGCTATCCCGTGTTATCTAAATAGACATCCTGATTTGGACTACCATCGCTGTCACAACCTTCAAGACTCTACTACGAAATGGGTTGGCCAACATCGCCAAGCGATCACTCGCCAACTGGTCGCAGTTAAGCGACTTCCAAGAGCCTCTTTGTCTGACGTCCAGAAGCTTTACTACATTGCTCATAATAATGTTGTACGTCCTGAGTCTTTTTATCATGCAGATGACGAATTATTTATTGTTTTTGAATATTTGCATTTGGATCTATTTGATCTATTTCCACTATCCACTGTAGAGGTCACTTGTGTAATGAAACAGGTGAGGCACCCTTGGGCGGTTTTTATGGCTTTGCTAACTCCCAGAAGATCATTTCGGGACTTCATCATCTCAAAGATCTCGGTATTCTATTTGGTATTGATATCATTCAAGTGGATGAATACGGCCTCGTCAAGATAGGTGAGGTAAATCATAAGTAGCGCTGAGAGGAAACCGGCTGACAAGAAAAAGTGCTGGACTGGAACTGGGAGGTCTGCGCTGAAAGCGCCCTATGCCACGCGAATGAAGGCTATCTGGTTGCCTATCTGGAAGAAGTTATGGCAGCCATGGCTCAAAGCTGTTTTCATTTACCTGCAGCGGCCGCTAATTTCCTTAAAGACGGCATATTACCACCCATAGATGTAAGGAGTTATCAACATCAATGAACATGGCTGACTTCATATAGCACCCATTTATCTCTAAGGCCGGTGGTCCTCAAGTTCTGAAAAGAGCGATCCAATTCGCGATCCGCAAAAAGATGCTAGCTTGTGAGGGCACATATCTAGTTTGAGACTTCACGCCTTGTTAGTATTTCACTAGCGTAGAGGCGATTAAGTAAAGTTAGTAAATCCGGGTTGGAATTTGGACGCAACAACCCTGTAACTAGAGCGAGGTCATTTGAAGATTGTGGAAAGCCAGAATTGAGGAGGATCCTAAGAGTAAGTCTAGAATTTTCTTTCGACTCCCGGGAAACATGGGACACAAGATTTTGGGGGCTTGACCATAACCCTAGGGTTCGAAGATCGAACTTAGCCTAATGTTATAGTGCAGCACGGAGCGTCACAACAGACAAGACTATTCTAGAACCTCGTGGCTAGGTAATTCGATAATATCAATTTATTCCTTGGCGTTCCCGAATATGGCTCGTCCGTTCGCGCGAGAATCGAAAGCCACTAGGTCCATGACGTTAGTCTCAGGTGAATGCCATAAATCCCTGAAATTATTCTGATGAATGCGATGGCCCTTAAAACCCGGCTTGCAGCTCGCAGCTTTTAGCAACGCGCCTTGGACAAGCCTACAGTATCGTATACGGACATAGCATCGTAGCATTTGGCGATCCATCTCTGGGCATTTGGTCAATTCTCGGATTGAGATCCTTTTAGAACAACCCTAATTTGATGATCTTGCGTAACGGTCCTTTTTAAGCCATGTCTATAGGCTCACCCACCTCCTCCTTCCCCTTTTCGGGTGTGTATCAATGGCCAGTTAAAACAATCTCATACAATGATTAGTGTCTTATTCTTGTAGCTTCAATTTAGTTCAGAATTTACCTCTCATACAGGCGGCCGTTTTACGACTGAGATGGCTTTCCTATAAGACGGCCATTCATCGTGTGAATAGAATCAAGTATTGAGGGAAGTGAGTTGCATACTGGATGTTAAGGACTCACGGCCATCATGATCGTCAACAAAACCAGTAACTTGGATTGCTGCGAAGAAAATTATACAACGCTGGTTGAGCCCCAACAAACAGAGTCGTCTGAGGCGCCTTTCCCACAGACTGCCGGGCAGCCTAAGTCACGACAGAGAGATCTTTCGATCGATAGTTCATCACAAGTTGAAAGAAAGCTTGATGAACAAGAGATCCAGATAGACATCCTCGAGCTAGAGCTTGATCAACATAAGGAATTGTTGCGGGAGAAAATCCATCAGCTAAACGAAAGGGATGCCACAATCAAAACACAATGCTTCCACATTGTCGCCCTGCACCACGACGTGCACCGCCTGACAGAGGAGAAGGAGAGGCTCGACATAATGGCTATGAATCTTCGAAACCAGCTGAAAGAGTTCGAAAGACAGGACTGGCAGGTACATAATGGGCCCGGACAAAAGAGGAAACTTTTTCATGAGAGTTTATAACTGGGTCTGATGGCCTTTCTCTTATTACCAGGTGTACAGTAGTAGATGATCAAGCTCTTATGATGTAGAACGAGGTAGACCCATCACGTGAGCCAGCTTCTGGTTGGATTGTGTATGAAAATCATCTGTGGTAAAGAAACCGAGCCGGGAGTGATTTGTCGAAGTTTATGAGATAGTCGCAGTATATGGAATATCTTGCTTGCCAGTAGGTTTAATCGATTTATATTGAGGAGAAGTCATTGCCGTTCATTCCATATTGCTCTCATCACTGTAATAGAGAACAACTGTTACGTAACGCCTAGCTTCCTGATTGGTCAATCACAGCTCCTATTGTGGGGCGCTCGGTGGCTCATAAAACGGCTCTTCAGCCACTTCCCTTTGTAGAAAATAAGGCTCTTTAATTCCTTTTAGATGCTCAATACGGTAGATAATAGCTGTTCGTCACAACAACAAGTCGTTGAAGCTCCAGCATACTCCACATCTGAAACCCAACGTTTGAGTGGAAACCGGGTGCCTACCTGCTACGTTTGCAAGGTGAATCTTGTCATGAAAACAACGCGTAATTATCGCAGAAACAAAATCACTCCGCCCCTAGCTCAGGACACATCCGACGCCACGTACTTGGGTGGGTTCCTGGTAGTTTTGACAGCTTTCCTATAAAAGGACATATCTCGGGAAAAGACTCTTCGTCCGTTTGTCATCAAAGTGGGCCATTCGATCGATCCAGATCCATAACACGCCAGGACCTAAAATGGTCACGAGCAAGTTGGCCTAATTAGATGTTGTTTTCAATGTCCAACAACGGCTAGAGCACTTGAAAGGCCCCCCTATTTGCCTATCTTATCCCGAGCAGCCAGAAGAAGGCTCAAGCCTCAGATTGGCTGACCATCAATTTAAATAGTACCCGAAAGCACGATTTCTCCTGTCATTGACTCTTTTGACTTTCCCACTTCACACTTTTGTGGTGGCCTTTGAACAACATTCGAGATGAGTGCTCGCGAAAAGAGATCTAACCCCACGCCACCCGAGGATGGGGGCTTCATTTCCACGATCTTGGGGCTAATCGATCTGCTTGCTCGGTTGTCTCGGATTGGAATCTCGCTGGTTAGAATGCCTACCGTCTTTATTGGTGTCTCTAAACTGGACAACATGAAGAAGCGAGCACGATGTAACTTCCTAGCACGATTGTGGAACCTTGGTTCTGGCTGGCTGCGCTTCAGCGCCCTTTCGACCGCTGTAGGGTCTGTTTCCCCCTCCGTGACCCTATCAGGCTATCAAAAACATGGGCTAGTGGGGTTCTTTTGGATGTGGTGGGTTTGGCGCCATAGTACCACGTGGATCATTGGCCGAATCATATTGTCAGTTTGTAGTCGCTTCAGAAAACTCATCATCCACGCTAACTTTAACCAGAACCATTGCCTTGATTTATTATAGGCGTCAGGGAGATATAACATGGTTTCTTGGTACACAACATACCACCACACTAATCCTCGCAGCAATCGTTGTGGGGTCGACCGTCGTGAACTACTCTGTTTTGTTTGGGCTTCTTGGTTGGGTCATATGTGGTGGCATGCTTGCTAGTCCTCCTATACCTTCTCTTTCGACCATTTACACATCCATACACCAGGCACTGAAACTAGAGGACAACCGAGATGAGGGTTTGTAGGCATCCGTGTGGAGCTGGCGAGGGGGACGAATCGGGGCTTGCAACCGCACTGCATATAATCGTACCCTTCCCTTTCGTTTGCATAGGTACCCTTGACATAAGTACATACTGCACCCAATTTTTTCATTTCGACGCTCCAAAAATTTGCGGGAGTTTCTGTGTGATGTACTGTGTTACCATCCCGAAGGGAAAAGAAAGTTGGGGGTTGGAAACGTACAACTCTGGCCCACCTAGAAAAGAAATGCTCGGCAGGATAAAATGCTGGTGATCTTATTTAGAAGTTGAGACAATTTGAACTCAGTGCATCTCAACAGGCCTTTTAATTTCTGTCATCCCTCGAGCTTCTTAGGTGCCTAACGTACATAGTACCATGGCGTGATGAGCAGGCTGGACAACCCACTACGACAGCGCAAACATCAAGCTTTCAACGCTCATCACTTCGCCCGCGGGCATGTGATCAAGAGAACCAAAAGAGTCGGTTAATTCTAGCTGTTCAGGCTATTCAAAACGATCCCGAACGCAGTATTTGGGGCGCAGCCAAGATTTACAATTCCTCCGCCTACCCTCGCGACTGCACGCCCAAATCCCGGTAACTAACCGAACTGGAGGAAGAGACAATTGTTCAATACGTTCTCGACCCGGGTGCTCGATAAGTTCCTCCGTTTCCCCGTAATATGGAAGATATAGATAGTCGATAAACTACTCGCCCATCGTGACGTACTTTGTCGTCGGCAAGCGCTGGGCCTCTAACTTAGTTAAGCGACAACCAGAGCTGAGGATTCGTTGCTTTCGGGGGTGTGACTATAAAGGAGCCGGTTGCGGAGGTCCAGAAGCCATCTGTGGCGGGTTATACCTACTATGGCATCGTAGAGTCGGATATCTTGGCGCAACTTTGATAAGGCTTGTTGTAAGGATGGGAAATGGAAATTATGTTAATATGAATGATCATTATAACCGCGAAAATACATCCCAACATGAAATTGACTCAGTTTCAAACCCGTTAATACGCTATAGTGGCCCAGAGCATTGATTCTCAAGATCAGTGGCCGTCATCGTTCATCAGTGTCGCGAGTCAATATCACCACTCCTCGACATGGTACGAAGATAGCCCTCTACCGCAAGACTAGGTCATCGGCACGACTGGTTAAATGGCTGGGCGACGAATTAAAAGGCCTGGATTGGATCGGGATTTCGTTAAGCACACAAAGCCGCGCGAGACCAGCGAGCATCGCTTCCTCGCCTCAGATGGCCACGAAAGTCACCTCTCTCTCGTCTTTGAATTCTCCTGTAAGAAAAAGACAGTTAAGATAATCGCCCTTTTTATGCCATCTCATTCATTCCGCATCTTTTGGTCTTTGGATATCGGGTGCTTTGACCCACTTAAGTACGCATACGGGCGACAATCGAGAGGAAGAGGTGGGCGGGCACAAAATACATTACCAAGGAGTATTCATTGTCGGTACCATTGGCCGAATTTCAATAGCCGATTACAGAAAAAATCCCGTGAGGATCTCAGAAGAACAGAAATTACGCTATAGAAACACGATAAGGTAACGGGTGGTCCTCCTTCCGTTATTGCCCCACTACCGGTTCAGGTATATACAAGTTATCATTCTGCTAGCTCTGGTTTGAGTCTTCATTCTTTTTCTTCTTTATTTTGTCCTCTTTTAACCGTTCGGATGGCTAACCTACTTTTTATTTAGTACGCTTCAGCCTAGAATATGCCTATACGATTCAGAGTTACATACGCTAAATGAAGTTTTCCCCTCCAGGTTTGTTCACCTCAAAGAATTGTACTACTCTGATCCTTAGGTGGGGATTGGGGGCATCAAGATTGACTCGGTATTATTTGTGGATGGGAGAATTCCTGAGCCCGGCGTAGCCCCGTCAAGAGAAATAACAGGGAGGTTTGGATCTATCGGTAGATCAGAAGATAGCTCAGGAGATCTTTCGTGACAAGCTATCCTAGCGCTTAGCGATAGAATCAATTGATTTTGTGTCTCAGCCATCTCCCCACACGTATTCTCGTACATGATGAGACGATCTATACGCGCGTGCAGCTCTGAAATTTGTCGCTTCAGGTGGTGGTTGTCATCGTCCAATCGACTGCCGAATTCCAACCATTGTTGCAACTGGTCTAGGAAATTATTAGGGGGTGAAGCAACAGCATTTGATCTCCCGCTGTGTTCTTCGGACATCATGACTAGCTTTCTCGAAGGTGCAATCTGGAGAGGAAGCGAGCTAGTGGTAGGAGCATCACGACGCTTTAAGTATCATAAGGATGATCTTCTAAGATATTTAACCAAAACGGCCATTGACTGCCCGCTAAAACTATGGAACTACCAGTTCGGTAGCCGTCTGATTTCAGTCAACATCATTATCAGCCAGCACTGCCATCTAGGGCGAAAATACAACCCCCAAACCTTAGACGTCGTGGGTTCGTCAGAAACCACTTCACGGCTTGCAATAGCCAATGCACAGCCAATACTCCTGGCTGAATACGTATGTTTCCCCAAACGTCCTAAAAGCGCAACCTCAGCCCTCCTCGGTCTCGCCCTAAATCATATATCCTTCTCAAATCTACCGCGAACTCTAGTTCTGGGCGGCATACCTCAATGTCAAGTTTATACCGTATGGTAACTATTCACGATATCTTGATAAATTGGACATGTATCCCGTGGGTCTACGGGTAAACTGTTACGGCTTTGACAAATCATCCTATTTACATGGATTTGAGTTTTTCTTTTTGCTTCTTTTAAGTCAATGCACCGAAGGAAGGAACCAGAGTAGCAACCAGAATCCCCGGATACTTCCCAACACATCGAACCACTAGCCCATGATAGCCATGCCTTGCCATGACCACAACCCTAGCCTTAGGCGGGGAGCGTCCCTGCAGCCCAACAACGATACTGCCAGAAATTCCAATACCGGTTCCATTTACATTTCTTTGAAGTCTCATATCGACGACCTTTTGGACGTTTTCAAGAACGAACGTCATACCAGCATAATAGACGAGCATGTCTCACAAGCCCTCCCGAACGACGAACTACAGCAACCACTACTGGAACCGATATTCGCACCTCCTACCGGCCGTTCTGCCTTCTCGCAAACATTTTTGTTGCCTCCCGTGAGAACGATAAAGCAGAGTTTCCGAGCATCTATATGCTCAGCGAAAAGGGTTGGGCATCAGCTTAGTGACTCTCGGAGCGGACAGATGCGACGACAAACCACGTTGCCCAATTCATATGGGGAGAACTCCAGATCGAACAGCAACATAGAAGTCAAAGTCGAATCGAGAGCAAAGCCCTGTAGTGATGTAGGGGATCCTTTTCTATTAGGGACTAGCCCTCAACACTTGAATGTTGAGAATACCAGCTTGGAAAACACGCTTCACAACTATGTAGCCGCCAGGTCCATCAGAAAGGCTCATGATACCTGGGGCGAGGAGAAAACCGTCGGGGATGTTCCTCTAGGTACAGATGGCGTAGAAAAGAGTTATTTCGATACCTCCTCTGAAACCGAAACTGTCGAGACCCGTCGATTATCTTCTGGGCAGAGAATATCTAAAATCAAAAACAGTACGATTAGATGGCTCCGAGACGCATTCAGCCTCGACGAAGACGAAAAAGCCTTCTTTGCATCTCGCAGGATCGCATCGGTAGATGAGCTCTTCATCCAACGCGCAACGCCGATGTTCATTGATGGTAGAAGAATTAGGCCAGTGCATTCGACCTGAGTTTGGTGGGCGCCTGATGATCAGCCCAGCAGCAACCCAGCTATCTATCTACCCAGATTAGACGTGATTTGTAGCGGTTACGGTACCTAGGTGTAATCTTGGACACTAAAAACGGGGTTTGTTGATTGTTTACGGCACCATGTTACGAAGCTCTAGTCGCAAATTAAAATTACGGTTGCCGCGGTACGATCTGATACCGGGAATCCATCAATGCCGATTTGTATGGCTTGCTCGCCGTTCCGCTGCAAGCCAACCGAGTGTATCCTACACGAGCGTACGGCCCTATGCGGCCTCGACCCTTTCAACTGAAACCCCCATCTTATTGCCCAAGTGATGTTGTACTTAGCGCGCTACCAAAGTAACTTCTTTTTCTTATATAAAATATATAGAAGAAGAGGTATCTTTTTCCTCTAATTAAAGGTGTCTTTCCTTAGTCAATGTACCTGGTCTTCCAAGTGCAACAGAAACTAAGCACGGCGAACCGGGCCGGTCTTCAGGCCCCCTCAAGTAGCATGAGTGCTTCGGGTCCGTCTCAGCCCCAGACGCGGTGCGTAGAGCTGCATCGGTCATGAACAGAAGCTAATTTAATTTAAAGCAATGAATCATGGACAGAGGGATCCCCTACTTGGCACACCGTATGTAACAGCAAAAAAGGGGGGAGGGGAATAATAATTTACGCCTAGAATTTGTATGCTAACATCACACTTCGTTGCGCCTAACACCGGGTTCTCAGGCTCGTCACGTAATGTTTTGGGGCTATGATACTTGATAGGCGCCTTCTCAGGTAGACGCCTCAGTTCGGACGGTATTCTAGTCTTCTCACAAGCCATATGAAAGATGTCAACCACAGTCCGTCTTAATCCGCCGCAGTCATGAGCATCCAAGCTTTCCAGCATGGTAAGCGCCGTAATCACGTCCTAATGTTGCCAATAGAGATTAGGACGCCTTGCCCCTAGTGTCTTGAAGACTTAGGTATCGTAGAACCAAATACCGCCAGCGAACTACAAGGAACGTACGTATCCAGCCGCAAAAGTCAGTTTTTGAATGGCTGGCTCATCATTTAGAGCTCTTGACATTCCACCATCAATGTTTTAAAGCGCACTTCTCTCTTGGCCATTCCGTTTAGATTCACAGCAATTGAAATCAGGGAGCTCTCTTTTTGTGGCGGTTCATCGTACATCTCAACTGCTAGAATCGATATGCCCTCAGCCGCCGCGACTGACCCAGGGGCATCAAAGTGTGGTAAATCCCGAAGCAGGACATTTCTGCGGCAATGGTGCAGGCAGACGCTGGCGACACATATAAGTGAGTGGTTAAGCTTGACTTTCCGGGGAAAATTAATCAACTGACTACTCTAGACCAACAGACTAGCTTATCGATCCAACCACATCAGGTCCGGCTCTCCAAAACAGAGAAATACGGCTACTACTGGATTTTAGAGAACCACTCTATTGAACACCTGTTCTCGAAAAGCCTCAGCAAGCTCAGAATGAGTGATTACAGGCAGCTGAGTCAGGAAGTCGGGCATACTTTCAGGGCCGCTCCAGTATCAACAACTGGATTAGTGCACAGCCACGATTCCGATCCTTCCCAGTCGTCAACCGAATTTTACATCCCACCATACCGTAACGCTGGGTATGTAGATTCACAGCAACGTGGAATTGGTTACTCTTCGGACATGCTCAACCACAATATGGCAGCTGAAGAGGCCGAGTCGAGCCGATTGAGGGCTGAGCTCCTGAATCTAAGCATGCAACATGAGTTTGCTATCCAGCAGCTGCAAGACTGTAGAGCTCAGTTGCAAGCAGCTGTTGAGCAGAAGGAACTGTGCGAATCATTTGTATTGAAGACCTTCCTAACAATGGATGACTTAGGGAGGATGATCGAGGGCCTACGAGACGGGGGGTACAGAGTTCTGGGAGGGTATAATGAAGCAGAGAGGAGTTATGGAGAGCTGCCAGCCCAAACTAGCTTGTTCGCTGAAACTCAAGGACCATAGCACGGGGCGCAGTGATGAGAACGGATAGGGTCTCATATTCTACACGGAAACCTTAGCAATCGCACTTAGTTAACATGCATGACAAGTATGCGTTACACTTAACCCTTTTGCACGGAAATCACTAGGAAAACATAACCATCGAATCAATTAAAGTAGGTCACTTTTTTCCTTACCCGCACATCACAACAACCATCCAGTATGTTCTTACTTTGTGCCCGGTCTTGCCGTATCTTCCACTATCTGGTCTGCGTTGTGTCCAGCAGGTTGCTTCAACAATGGCAAAGAACACATTTCTTGTCACATCTATAGAGTCGTAACCCGATACTAGCACAGTTACCTAAGCATCTTCCATAATTCCTACATCTAGCGTACAGTTCCCCGGTTAGTACGCAGTCCTCCTTAAGACGCACCCAAGGTCTCATAGCGTTATTCATCCATAAGGGTCGAAAATGTTCTGTGCCCAACCTCCCTTGGCTGCTACGAAGCTTGATGCACATGGAGGCGGCTTTTGCGCAACGCAAATATTTTCACATCATTATCTAGATCAGAATAGGCAGACCTCCAGTATGGGACGTATATCTAATTTTTGCCTAGAGACCCATGTCATCCGATGTCTTGATAGCAACGGCCCTGCCTATGGCCAAAATCATGTGTGGCACTAGAGAGGGCTGCTGTATTTGCCGCGAATTCTTCGCGCAAGTTGGAAATCTCTAAGCATTAAAGTAACCCGCTTGGCATGGATAGCATAAAGATTGGCATCTTCGAAAAGACTAACTAAGTAGGCTTCAGCCATCTCTTGCAGTGCTTGTATGGCCTGCGTTTGCCAGCGGAAATTTTCGCCTGCCGGTCGCATGTTAACGCCGATCTCCTTGATCTGTTTTCCATTAGATAGATATTCGGCATAGAACAAACTTCTTTCAGTCTGACTCACAAGTCTCGCGAATGGAAGTGTGTTAAGTAAGAGATCTGTCGTGTCTTGATATGCCCTAATCTCTTGAAGGGCACCGGTGCCTGGTCGTAAACGCCGCCTTGCCCGTATCGGCACTGGATCGCCAGCTGGTTCCTACGCTGTTAGCTTTCGAGGTCGAAATTAGGTCGAGTAGAAACCGGACATACCTTGAACGTCGCCGCGTCCTGTTCTCGACCCGGCCGGCCGACCTCTTTTCCGTCGAGGAGGCATGATAGGGCTTTTTGAATGATTGCTCGTGGTGGATCAATGTAGCAGCGCAGGGAGCTGAAAACAACGTTAAGCAAGGTCGTGAGCAGCAAAGCGCGGAGATCTCGCGCGAAATCACGTCTAGAATAAATAGGACCGTCATTCCCCTTTGAGGGCAAATTGAGCTGTCCGCCTCCTATACAAGAACTGTGCCGTCCTGGCCCGTTTTGGCCCTTGAGAGTGAGGCGTGGGGCCACAGCATAAGTTTGCCTTCCAGCGCTTCGCTTGGCATTATGGCAACTACCGGGGCTACGGGTTCCGGTTGGCTGTTCATGGTTTTGCTCAAGTACCGCTGTTCCTGAGAGCATTGATTGTTATAGGAAGTTATGAGCCAGGCATGGCTGGATACCTAATTGAACGGCCGGGTCTGGGCAAGCTCGCAAGGTTAGCTCCCGCATGTTATCACGCTACGCACGGCCGTCGGATAAAATTGATAAGTTCTCATGATGTTAGAGTTCAAAACCCTTGATCAGTTATTTCCTGGTTCTCATGGGAGAGCTTGCTGTGAGCCTCGTGCTGTTGTGTGAGACTCGTTTACCAGTATTTTGAACCTAAATCGTAGTTATGCTGGACTTTAAACCTTGTTTCTGTCCTTGACTGAACGGGAACTCTCGGATGGTCCAGCAATAATGCACTTCCCTACATCAACATGACCATGGCAAAGGCCTCACACAATACCCAATTATACTTCCATTAGAGTTTTTATGACCAGGTCCATATGAACTCCACCTTTCGCAAACCAGTGTCACCAACCCTGGCCATCCACTGGAACAGATGTGTTGACAAGGGCAACACCAACAATCTATTTGCACGATCTTCCCAAGGTCATCCCCGAGCCTGTTTCTTTTATTTTGGAGATTAAAACCAAAGAGAACATATAATAGCTATCTAGAAGCCCAGCACCGAGTAAAAGAATCAAGAGGTGCCTCAACAAACACAGCTCACTAAATCTTCAGAACAAGTGCACAACTACAACACTGAGAAGAGTAAACCACAAGAAACCACCCATTTTACGTCTGTTGCAAGCCGAGGAAGTCTCCACCGGAGTTTCAGAAGGGAGTTGGGTAGGAGCCCAAACCGTTCTTGAGAGATTACTACCGGCCCAAGCAGGTGGCGTGTTGGTATCGCCACTTGATGGGGTTGGCGTCTGCCATACAAGAGCAGAAACGCGATCGATATCGGCTTCGGGAGCCTTCCTTATGCTCGTCGCCGGTGTTTCCGGAGGCACTGGGTGCCTGATTGGAGTGGGCATAAGCTGGGGAGTCGTCTCTGGTAGTGGATAACAGTAGCATTGAGAAGCAGCCTGCGCCAGCGGTGTTAGTTTGAATGATTTGGAGTCGAAAACTTGTCGAGTCGGGGCATGGATACCTCAACGCCGCGGGGATACGCGGATGCATCAGCTAAGCGTACGCTTTCGCTCGCAAACAACATGATCGCGCTGTTTGGCTTCTCCAAGACGGGAGAAAAACAAGAAAAAGGAAAAATGAAAAGAAACAATGACAGTGGGATCTTCCCTACTTATACATACATCCATTTGTTTCTGTTGTTTTCAAATCTTACCACGATTGGGCTGATGTGCCACATCGGAAGAGCCAAAACAGGCTTGAAGCGGCCTATAATTAAGCCTGCAATCAAGGCTGTATGGTCAAATTCGCCGAAAAGACTAGAACGGCCGCTCCGCGCTGCTTAATTACCAGCTTCAGCCGCATCGCTCGACCCAAGTTTTCAAAGTTGGAGTTAACAACCAACAAAACACGTTGGCTTTGCCATGCTAAGAAAATCAAAAGCAGGGATCTCGCTTGCTGCTCACATCTTGCTCGTAATAGTTCTACTCTCAGTCGGTGGACCACTTTTGCGCGATACCAAGAATGAGAAAGAGGGCATCTTTAGAGTAACAGTATTGAAACCGCAAAGCCCATCTCGACCCACCGATGACTGACATGCACACAAGATAGGAAAGGGTATCTTTACCCGAGGTCTATCCGTCCCCACGGGCAATATACCGCCACAAGTCACAGAGGTTGCTGGAAAGGCAGATGGGGTCATCAAGCAAGCGACTACCGCCGTCGCTCAAGCCACGAAGGTTGCCGGAGATATCAAGGATAAGGCGACCAGCGCAATTGCTGCGGGCGAGACACTGCTTGGCGGCCTCATTCCGAAGGCGTGTAGCGTTGGAACTACGTCTGGATGTGTGGAATATGGAGATGGCTACTCTGACTGTCTGCAGTTTCCGCTTGAGGACAGCAGACCTTTCAATACTATCACTGACATATCGACTGAGGCCGGATCCTTAGTGAACATGCTCCAGCACATCCCTTCTCTGCGAGCTTTGTTCATCGCTGGCCTCGCTTGCTTCATTACCTCTTCGAGTTATTCTGTTGCTAATGCCTTGGTGCTTCTCTTACCAATGAAGAGAGATAATCTTCCATTGAAGAATTTGATCTGCATTGTTTTAGGCGTATTGGCATGCGCTGCTTTTATTTGTTTCGCCGTATTTGTCTTTGTGATCTGGTCCTCTGGCCGTGGGCTGGAGAGGGTTACCAGTGGTACTTTTGGTTCGGGTTTCTCATTTCCGGTATCAATAGTCTCGTTACTATCCTCCGTTGGTCTTCTAATTTTACTAGTCCTAGAGAAAGTCACAGGAGTTTGACAAGTCCAGGAGGTGCGAGAGGCAGGGCAAAATGAATACAACTACCCACGAGGCTGCTGGAAAACATACAAATGGGGCGGAATTAGGTTAGAAGGTTTAAATTGCACGAATGTAGGATTATCCACGGCCCATCTGTCCTTTGCTCGTAGCGTCATAATTGTATGCTAGGGGGATTCTGGAATCGGTGCAGACATGTACACTATCGAGACGATATGCAAGCATGCTGGCCACCCTGTACTAGATCTCTCCCGTAAAAAATTTCCTCGGCAGCTCGACCATGTATACGGCTCCGATCCAAGAGGCCTTGCGGGCGATCTGAGTAGGACTCAGTATGCCAGCGATTGTATTTAGTTTAGCTCAGCACGTCCTGTGCTCCCTTAGGAGACTTCTGGGGCCTCACGGCCCCCCGGACGAAAAATATACAAACAAACAAAAAACAAACAAAATTTCCTCGGCACGCACCGATAGTGCTGTGCTAGCGGCGACCACACAACACCGCGGAGCGCCATCGGCTCCATAACAGCAGCTTCCGGAGCAGGGTTTTTGGAGAGTTCACCTTCTCCGGCAACACACTTACTATCAGATCTAACGGCGCCACCTCAGAGTCAGGGCGACTGCTAGTATCAACTGATCCATCATGAATTACGATTCCGTCATAATACTCAGTAGAGGGAGTCGATACGGATGACAACTTATGGCCAAGTCAAATGAATAGACGGGAAACCGTTCTTGGGCTACTAGTGTCAGAATCTGGACTATGGGCTGAGTAGATTGTGGATCCACGTGACTAATGCTACTGGACCAGGGTATAGAGGCACCACTCAAGCAGTTAACTAGAATAAGGATACATCCAAGTACCATGATACATCAATAGAAGCCACGGATCTGACGACTAGAAAAAAAACAAATGGGACCCCCGGGATCCGACCTTCCGGTTGAACGTGTTCTCTTGACAAGATTGGACCTACAATTCTAGCGCGACGGGCTCGAGATGAAAAACCAAAATGTATTATTGGGAAATACCTACTCTGGAGTATTGCCTCTTGTGCTCTTTTTGACTAGTTATTGAAGAAATGGGTACTACCCCACGACACGTACTTGACCCTTATGATGAAGTGTTTGGTACCACTTATGGCCGACACCAATTTAAAATCTAGCACGCTTGGCTCGCGGGATGAAAGTCCCTCCAGGAAGCTTTCTCTTCCGATGGTCTGATGTGCCGAAGCTGGCGTCCAATTCCTGTCGTTGGACGAGCCATTCTAGCGTAAATGGCGATCCGCTTACATCGAATCTTTCACCCGCTTCCTCGGTCAACGTGATCGGGATCAAACTGCTGAGGCTAGGCACCACGAAATGCACTCTGTAGGATAGATCCTCTTCCATGCTTTCGCGCGTAACTTGTAGGATCTGGGCTCCTACCTGGAACGAGGCCGCTCTTTCACACAGCTGGTTGATAAATGCTTTATACCCTGGCGTTTGAGCTCTAAGCCGACAGGTGATATGGCCAGTGCAGTGATAACCCCCGTTGGCGAAGTATGGCAGGGACTGCTCATCCAACGCGAATAGGAAAAGCTCCGCCCGTAGATGGCGGCATAGCTTACGAAGATCTGACGTGCCTGTTGCTGCATCTCGAGCAGTCCGTTGCACATGATCCATCTTACTCACCTCATCTAATAAGGGCTCTTTTCCCAGGAATTCCACGTCAAATCGAAAGAATTTCGTATTGCTATCGACTCTCTGATGGCTTAAAAGGTGATCCCAAGTCGTTCTTGAACCGGTCTGCCGCCAGAGAGCCCTCCACAGTCTGAACGGGAACTTGCTGGACAGCATGCCCGATGGGTTATGTTCATCTTGTACGGTAGAACCCGTGCCGAGGGAGACTACGATGCTGGGTTCTGTCGCATCTGAGCATAGGGAGATTGCCTCACGCACGGCGATGCAGGCCGGATTGTTCACCGCAAGGCCGCCGTCTTGGAAAACGCCGAGGTCACCGATACGTTTTGGTACAAAATAACTATACTCTTGTTAGCGGCACTAAGTACCGTTGAGGGGCGTTTTGAATTACAACGGCGCCGCGGTCGCACATCGCAGCCTGTCCACAATCAGCTTTCCTGTGCTCGGACTCGGCCGGCTTCACTTACACTTCCCACCACTTGACCAGCTTCTGCCCGTCATCAGACTCGAGATGGCGGTAGTCTATTAAGAGTCAGCGATGCAAAACAAACCACGCCCCTAGCCTTTCTACGTGCCAAGATTTTGGGGCCGTACGCCCGTGCCGTTATAGTTCGTTGCAAGAAGGACACTACCATCTCGTGCTTTCGTCAACGTAACACCCACGTGGGTTCCCATCTTAGTAGCCGTAGATAGATCTGTTAGGCATCGGTCGCTGCCATAGGTGTCTTGAAGCAACTGTTCGAGCCCATCAGCAGCATACTTGCTGTCAGCCAACAAAGCATAGACGAGCTGAAGTAGCCGAGCCACGCTCGATACAAACGGAAGTCTACAAAGCATGAGGAGGAAATCGGGACATCGATGAACAAACGATTCTTTGGCGAACATCTTGAGGTGGGACATGCAATCGTCCACACTCCACCCCAGTATGTCAAGGCTGATCACGCTTAACGCACCTTTAGATCCCATTAGTTTCAGCAGATGCGGACGTTCTCCCCAGCAGCTTTACCTGAACTAGTGCCGACCTTGACGTCGAAGTTGCGCTGAACCTTATAGCCTGGTATACCGATCTCGTCTTGGATCGCCTTCAAGAACCCTATCGGCGCTGACCCACGGATGCCTCCACCATCGATGCTCAGGACGCGAAGTCGGCTCGTATCCGGAGTCAGGTGAATGGAGAGTCCGGGGGCGGGTTCGCTGCAAATATGGCATGCCTCTAGCCGATACTCCCAGGGATCAGCGTCGCTTTGAGGATAAAACACCCTGACACAGTTCTGACAGATGAGGTGCCCACATGGGAAGCCATACTGCGGCCGCCGTCGGATGCAACTCAAACACGTGTCTCTTGATCTGATACTTTTCAAAAAGTCTTTGTGTCGCGAAAGCTGCTGCCGGTGCCAGTCAAGAGATGGGCCGAGAGCCTGAAACTGCGCGAACTGAGTAAACATGCTAGACGATATCAATCTTACTATTTCCGCAGGCGGGATGAAACCCTTAAACCTGGGCCTGAACACGGCGCTTGCGCAAGAACAATCTGCTTCATACAATTCACGGAAAACCTGGTGACAGTCGAAAACTAGAGAGAGAGAGAGAAAAAAAGGAACTGTGATCAGTAGGTAGAGGGCCAGACGAGCTTCTAGGAGGCTTACGGTGCATCCCGGGCGAGTAATGATCGAGGAGTAAACTTGATGCAATCAACGGAACAGCAATTCGTCGAACGGCACTTGGAGACGTAAAACTTTCTAAAAAATTTGCGACATGGCGGCTCAAATCTGAGGCTACGGCTCGATGGAGTCTGGAAAACTTAACGAAGCTATACGGTTCGGCAGTCGTATCTGTCGCTGCACCCGCACCGAGTTGTAAAAAGCGCGCGAGGTGGTAGACCGAAAACAGAGAATTAGAGCGCCGACGAGATTGCCTACTAGCTTCCAGAGCTCTTGCTATTTCAGGACTGAGTACTTGCCAGCGCCGCGTTCGCTTGCATCTTTTTCTTCTGCCTCGACCGGAGAGCCTTGGAACTCCGACGAGCTTGATGCCGCGGAAACAGGAAGCCAGTTCTCCGGATCGCGTTTCGTCTACAAATCGCTGGAGGGCAACTTGGTGCCGTTCCTTCTCCTCTTGATTTACCACAAGAAGAACTTGCGGTCGCACTGGGCTGGATGATGGTGCTCCTCTCTTGAGCCACGAATCTAGTTGTCCTAACGATGCACTGAACCCTCCAAGATCATTGACGAATACACAAATAACATCGGCAGATGGAAACAAAATCTTGTGTAGGAGACTAGCGTGGCTGTATCTCGGTTCACCAGCAACTGCCATATCAGCATAGACCTTGACCTCGTGACACTGGTTGCCACTAAGAGACGGCGGCTTCAGCTGAAGCCCAGGGGTATCCGTGTCGGCAATGACAACACGTTGACGGCGAAACTCCCGAAATAAGGATGTAAGGAGATGCACCTCCCCGCCAGTCTTTGCGTGGATCCGTTCAGTTTGAAAAGTCAGCTTTCTGAAAGCTGCCTGTTTAGATTGATTTCCAACCAAGACCAAGAGACCAGCAGTCTCGCTAGTGGGATTGTCAAAGTCTCTTAACAAACGCTGAGGTCGATCGGTGACCTCCAGACCCGTCTCAATACCTCTGCTCCACGGTTTGAGCCAACACGTATGACGACACCGGCTCATATTTGTTGGCGATTCAGAAAAAAAAAAAGAAAAAGAAAAAGTTTTACAGGGCCTTCGGACCAGGGTTAAGTACTTGCGGGACCCTCTGATATATCTTGGTTGGACACTCCCAACAACATTCAATTTTCGCCGTCGCAAATGGTCATCTTTGCTACTGTCTGGAAGCGGACTGTATCGCGCGGGCTTACTTCTAAAGAGGGGGGGAAGAGAAAGGCAAAAGTGGCAAGGATCATATTTGGTACCTCACTGAACCTACTCAAAGACTACGCACCATATAACGGCTAATCACGGACAATTGAGTACGAATTAGTGGAAAATTACCACCAAAATGGCTCATATGCATCTCGACCTGGTTTGGGTCAAGAAAGGGTGTATTGGTGTCTCATTCTGTCCGCAGAAGTACAAAGAAAAAGAAAAGCGACGTTAACAGCCTGTTGGGTACCGGTACCTGATGCAACCTACTGGCGACTACCCAAAGTGCAGCAGACCTGGTCTCGGCCGCTAAAGGTCGAGCCTCATCAACTTCACCTCTGCAACTGCTCCTATTTACTCTCAAATTCGGTTGTCGGAGAACTGGGGCTGGCTATGAAGCCATATGTAGACATTGAGCTGCTCGACGAACAAGAGCGGGCAATCCCGCATCCAGCGCAAAATAAGCGCACAACGGACATATTCAGTGTTTCGCGGACTTTTGATTCTGCTGTTTTCTAGATGTTCTTTATTCAAACTGAAAATTTCGAGCATCTTTTCTCATGTGTGGGTATTTAAACAGGCACAGCTTCCACCTTGTCTTATAGAGAGGTATGTGTGCAATCAATGATGGTACCAAGCAAAACAAAAATTATTGCAAAGCACACGGATTCAGTAACACATCATGACGAGCACACCCCTTCTCAATGCCCCTTCGCTACCCCACGCCGAGCCGACACAGGGAGCGACGGTGGAGGACTTACTCCATCTCCTGCACGACAGAAATCGCGCTCTTGCCCTTGAAAATGAGCAGCTTCTCGCACAATATGAAGAATTGGAGAACTTTATCAACTATAAAGAGGCCATCATTGCCTGGCAGCAGCGTCTCATCTGCTTAGGAGGGGAACATGTCAAATTGCTAGAGACGGTTGTTCGTGGACAATCCGCAGAGACGTTGCAGCCTACGAAACTACCGTCGCAGGAAGTCCGACCCGAGTTCCGCCCCAGGGTGTGTAGCTCACCATTGGAGACACCACCAAGCTTGAGTCTGGATTCTCCTTGAGTCGTTCGTAGTACGACCACGGCGACGAGAATACCTGAAACTGACCATGAACAAACAATGGCCACCTAGGGCCGGCGGATGCTGTCTGAGTATCAGCCTGAATCGGAGGATGCTGCCTATTCGTTGTATTATTAGATCAGTTAAGGCTAAACACGCAAAAGTGGTCTAGAATCAAGAGGCAAAGAATCAATCAGCGGGTTGGGCTCCTGTGTGCACACAACCACGCCAGCAGTGCGGCCTTTGCTTACGTAGGTACTAGGTAGATCTCCATCCGTATGTTCCACTCAGCTAAGCTTACACCTCTCTACTCAGCGTGATATATCACCATCAGCCGAGTGATAAGTTGCTGGTTCAAGTCGGTCAAAGACGACCCTACGGACGAAGATTACAGTAACGTTATCGCAAGTGAACGTTAACTTCCCAGCCACTCCTTTGCCAGCACAACAAAACGCTACGCGTGCGTTTCCAAACAGTACCGTGTATCTGGAACCAGACAAACACCTTGACATCCTTCGGGCGGTACAGCATGACTCGACGCAACAATTATACACATTGTGATATTAACACGCTCATAGGGATTACAAACATATCTCAAATACAGATGAAATATATGGAAACTTGCCCCGTTCGTTCACCGGTGTCCAATTGCGATCTTAGTGCTCCAGGCAAACCCCCGCCCCAATAAACCAAGACTTCCTTCGCCCTAGTTGATAATCAATTCAGCAGAATCCACCGTCCGGTCTGAACCCGTCTCCAAAGGGACGATCTGGCTTTGGCTCCCTTGTAAAGGCCAAATGTTCTGGCCAGTGAGCAGACGTTCTATCTCCTGGCTGAAGAGCTTCGGTACCATTTCAAGCCTACACAATTCTGTGAGCAATCCTCAATCATTGTCATCAATCAGCTAAAATATCAACCAACCTCTGTACCAACAAGTCAATCCTACCAGATGGTAATGGTCAGCAAAGGATAGCGGAGAATGTGTTGACGATATGTGCCTTGCTCGGAGAAACGATATACTGGACGCCTTTGGGACCTCTTACCTGCTGTCGATAATCGATAATCTACCAAGCCACGAAGGTGTAAACAATCTTCATCCTTGCCAACACAGACGGGAATGGTAGATACCGGTATGTGCAGGAATACTCACTTGCTGTTAACACTTGCTAGTCTGCCAAACATGAAAATATCAGCAATCCATCGGTCGATAGCTAATGAGAAATAGATTTGATGCGATGGTGTAAAGGTGGCTCACTGCTCCCTCAGTATTGCTGAAGTCTCCTCTACCCTGTGTATACGCAGCTCGAGATCCGCGCAGCTTGGTGATGCCAGGCCCTGGCCAGAGGCGTCATCGTATCCGTCCTGGTCATAGGCGTCGTTGTCGCAGCGAGGCCTATGTATCTTGTTAGATTCTTTTCAGAGCACGGTTCAATCACTCATGACCGATGTCAATAGGTAGAGGTACGAGCAAGAAAAAACAAAAAAGGGAAAGAAGGAGAAGAAGGAAATAAAGCAAGACCGAGAAAGAGAAGGAAAACAAACCCTTCATATCGAGAGAACGGCAACGCGTCGTCGTCCTCACGCGTGGAGGCGGGCAATGGCCCGTGTTGGTCTATCGGACCATAGTCTGAGGCCTCCCACTCGCGTCGGGCACTCCCATGGCATACGCATTCATCTTGTTGTAAGCCCCGTTGAAACATCCGTAAATTCCGTCTCCGCCGGTAAAACCTCTTCGCCCCCGGATGGCGTGGAAGCTGCAGAGGCTCGCGGTGACGGGGAGAGTGTTTGGCGCGGGAGGAGCCCATGGGAAACGAATAACAAGGCGTAGAAGTAGAAATAGAAAGATGGGAGAGAAGAGTCAAGTTTCGTTCTTTGCCGCGAATATATATACCGTAGCATCTCGTGAGATCCGGACAGCTTTTACGTTTCAGCCAAGCCTACTAGAAACTAATCGAACAGCTAAAAGTGGGTGGAGATAAAAGACTGTCCGGATTTTACGAGATGTCACGGCACATAAAAGCCGTATCCAGCAGTTAGTCCAGTCGGTTGAATAGTAAGCTGCTGCAATCGTCATGAAATGCCGCAGGTGCCATCGGTACATTCAGTAAAGCTCGCACGGCCTTTTAGGACCTAATACTTTGTATGCCTGATGCCTCTTCAATTCAACCCACACTTTGATACTTTGATACTTCGATACTCTGACTCTGGACTCCAGCTGGGCATGGAAGGTTCATCATTCCAAGGAATTCATCCGCCCCCACAGTGTAAAATGAAGCGGGAGAGATATTAACAAACCAGGCCTTTCGTTGTGGGGCCATCGTGGTCCGCCTCACCTGTCTGTCTCGATGACGCGCCACAAGAGTGGGTGCCCTGAGATGTACGACTGACCAATGGCTGAGATGTACGAGTTGTCATCTTGACAACAGTCCCAGACCAGTCCAGCGACTCCCAAGCATCCAGCCTCGTGCTATAATTTGTGGGTATCTGAGGAGCTATTCTCAATCACATGATGACTTGATGAATGCAATCGCCGCCAGGAGCATGAGGGCGGTAGCATCTGGAGACCGGCGTTTCCGGCTGCCGACGACCGAGGCCTCAATTTTCAGCCCTCAGGAGGCCAAAAGGAGTAACTCGAGAGGTTTCATGGTAGTTTTATTATGGGCTGGAACAGGTGGAGGATTTGATTCGATGCATCTTTATTGGCTGCTCCGTACCCCTGCCGCGTGATGTTGGAGAAGTGGCATGCATGATGATGTTACACAGGCAGCCACCTCAAGGGAAGATGTCACCCCATGATACCTTAATTGTCAGAACAACGTTACAGATCTGTTGCAGGATCAGCAGGTCTAGTATCTTGGTCTTGCCCCCTCAGATACAAAGACAACGAGGGAGAGCGAAGAACAAGGAGGACGAACACAAGGAACCTCATCAATACACTCAAGATCATCCCAATATCATCTTTAATCATCAGTTACCTAGTGAGGGCGCGCTGTCTAACACGTGACCCTGTCCGCAGCTACTCCACAATTGAAGGGTTCAGGTCTTTTTTTTTTCCCCGTCCTCTTTTTTTTTCTCCGGCTGCGGCGCCGATTTCCGGAGATGACTGTCGCCAGAAATCGCCAGTCTAGCCAGCGTGCAACCGCACGCGCCATAGAAAAACGAGATCGTTGGGTTTTGGGTCATGTAGTACCTAGTCCCTGACGAAAGCGTCTTTTTTTTGTTTTTTTTTTCTCTCTCATGTTGTCGTGTAGGGGGGCAAACGCGCCACTCAAGCAAGGCGTCGGATTACGGCCGAAGCCTTTTTACGCGATGTTGGATGTACACAGTGCTTGAATTTTCTCAATATGGGGATGCATCGGGTTAAAGGTACCTAGCTTCCCTCTTATATTGGCCTACGGTAGAAGTAGCAGGAATAGCTCGAGTTACAAATCGCTACATCACACTGCTCATATTCCCCGAATCGATTGACGCCTTTTTTTTGTTGTACCCCATTGGCTCATGCGTAGCTACAAGCTGACACAAAAAAAAAAAAAAAAAAAAAAAAGCAGTACAGTCGGAAAACCCTGGGACAGATCTGATTTACTTCTTAAATTTTGGGGCACATCAAGATTATCCGATAAATTCCCCGTTGGGGGATTTTTGACAGCTAGACACCTATTTCCCCACTTAAGCTGACTGTCCCCGGGTTTTCTAGCTGGCCCGCCATTTTTGGCCAACCTACCCCATGTGAACCGACGGGACCAGCGGCGAGGGTTAATTTCTTTTATTCCAGTCAGAAGATGGAGGGATGTGGGGACTCGGGTACGACGTTCCTCAGCCCGTGAGATACCTGGGGACAGAATCTTGCGATGCTGCCCCCGGGGTGGATATCTAATACGACGGATTAGGGGCTGTATCCTACGGGTCCGAAACTACACCAGAATGGCTCTCACCAGATCGGAGCAATTTTTGGTGGTGGTGATTCCAGTGTTCTTTTTGGTCCCCCTAGTGTAGTTATCTCAATTTGAAGGACCAAGCAAGTGGTGTGCCAGTGTGTGGGCCAAATCGGGCGACACAGGCGGCCGAGCTTGTGCCTTCAAAATTAAAGTCGGCGGTGAACTAAGTCATCAGCTGGAATGCATCTACAGTGGGATGCAAAGAGTATGAAACTTGTATCTTGTACTGGCTCGCTAATTAAGCGGAATTATACCCTGTCAATATGGGCCGGTCCAATCGAAATAGCAGTATGAAATAAACCGCCCGGTTAGGCCTAGATAACTTAGCCTGGTACAAGGTACAAGTTTCATACTCTTTGCATCCCACTGTAGGCCTAGACTTGTTCCAGAGCCTCGATTCCTTTACGGCTGCACCCCTGATCCTAACCAGATAGGGGCTAAGACGCGTTGCTGCTATAGGCGGCAATTGACGTGAAGAATCTGCGCTGCGCAAGAAGTCCAAAAACACCAAACTCCAAGGACCAGGCGGCCGTTTAAGCGCAATTCGTTGAAACAAGTGGAGCCGGCCTAACATTGGGGTGTCTTGCGCTCACCCGCACTGCCGCGTGAGCGGAATGGTCCGATGATCAGCCCAACCCCCACAGCAGTCTGGGATGAAGAGAGAGCCGAATTAGCAAATGACAAAAGAAGCCGTATGGGGTATTTCACCAGCCTATTTCGATCGGAACAGAGCCGAGGGATTAATCAGCCAGCTACAGGCGATAATTGGACGTTTGCAAGTCGAAAAGCTCTCTGCTTTTTCGAAGTGATAAAACTGAACTTGCCTTGACATCGATTCGTTTTCATTCGGTTCGCCTCCCAGTGTTTCTCCTCCACACCGCCCCCTTTATTTCTCGCTGTTCCGTCTATTGAAAATGTCTGCCGAACCCGTCACGCAGGATGATGGGATTGCCGAGAACAACGACATCGTGCACAAGATAGCGTCCACGTCCAACCTCAGAGAACTCATCCAGGCAGTTCCCAGTAGCTATCGGGCAAAACTAAAGGACTATCTTGTGGGGGAATATCACATATACCGTCTACATGCGAAGGTGCAGAGAACCATCTGGGCGTACGAGCGGCACGCAAATGAAGGTTCCTTGCCTTTCTGCGTCAGCAACGTACTCAATGAGCCAACACTCGAGTTTACCTCGGAGTTCCTCAGGAGTACGGACGGATACGCTGCGTTGGAGGCCTTCGAGCGCCAAGTTGCAGTCGCGCGGAGAAATATCTTGAACGCAGCAATTCAGCAAAAAAAGGCAGAACTCGGCTACCTCGCTGCACGACTGGGGCCAAATGTCGCTGAGTGGGAGAGGCTCGTCTACGAAGCGTTCGAGGGGATCCTAGAGAACTGTGAAGGGCCCTCCATACTGCCAGTTCAAGGAAGCCCCCACTTGGACGAGACTCCCGGCCCTGCTGTTAGAGAGTTCAACTGTTGGAGATCACAAGTGTGAGGCGACCAAGTCGGTGGCAAGGTGTGGAAGAAGGAGGAACATTCTACAAGAAATCGTGCCTGTACATAAATAGTGGTTCCCCTACTTCACTTTGAGATATGAATTAAGCAACCTGCATCTTCTCATTTCAACAGGTTATGAGCCCGGAAAGCTAAACCATACTCAAAAAAAAAAAAAAAAAAAAAAAGCTGAGTCTCCTACCTACTTATTTGTCTCTTACTCACAAGGACTTCACAGTCCCCTTCCACTGCAGCGGAGACTCAAGGAGTCAAGGGCTTCCCGCAGATTCTACCAGTTTCTCGTTCACTGATTACACTACACTCTCGCTGATTCTACTACCTTCTAGCTGACTACACTAACCCCTCGGTTTGTCAACGCTCTCTTTGCCACTGGGCTTCTATCACCTTCTGTGTTGGCAGGCACTGGCCATAAGAAGCACGCCCTGGACTCGCTCTTGCGATTCAGTTCACGAAACAACATCAGCACATTACACTACTTCAATATGTCAGACGGCAGAGACTCGAATCTGAGCGGAAATCTTTCCGGAGTTGCCAAGCTTGAATCCTCTGAAGGCTGGATCAACTGGAACGAGGAAATCCGACTTCTCTCGGCAATTACAGAAGACCCGAGACCAAATACTTCAACTAGACGAAACTAGTCAGATTGGCCAACCACAACTGATAGACAAGTTCCTCAATGGACTTGGACCCAAATATCAAGTGTTCCTTACTGCATTTCTTCAGAGCCACAGCCTGCTACCCGAAAGGAACCTCGAAGGCATCATCATCAAGGCAGCTACTACTATTGAAGAAGCTACTAGAGCTGCGGAGCAGGAGGAACACAGCCAGCGGATGCAACAACAAAACCAAGACCAAGAGGCAATCAAGCACGCTGCTATGGTCGCTGCCATCAGGGAGCAAAATTTCACGACCTGCAGCGGCTGCAAGAAGCTTGGGCATACCTCAGATGCCTGCTGGTTACTTCATCCAGAGCTCAAGAGACGCCTGAACGACAAGCGATTCAGGAGAAAGCAGCGCCAAGATCATCCAAGAACCAACAACCGAGCCAGAGACGTGGACCAGGACGAAGTTACAAATGCTCTCGCCATCCATGCGGAACCCGTCATACAGCTGATGGCATACCAGGGCCAAAGGGTGAGCGATTTACTCGAGCAAGTACATGTGCTGGACAGCGGAGCTTCGATGCATACCTTTTGCAAAAGGGAAAACTTCAGTACCCTTCACCCCTGGAACGGCGGACAGACAGTTGGAATCGGCGAAACACAAATCACTCCTCAGGGCCTGGGAAACTACATCCTGCGGCTAAAAGGACTTGACGGTCCGCGACACCTGGCGCTCGACAACTCAGTATACTCCCCAGAAGGACGTGTCAACCTTGTTTCGATATCTGCCTTAACAAAGAAGGGCGCGAAAATCTCTTTCGACGACAACCAAGCCAGGGTGATACACAACAATCGAGTAATCCTGACAGCCACTGTACGATCAGGGATCTATGTTGTGGATCAACCAGACGAAGCGATCAACGCTGCCTTGGCGTCACTTGTTATTAGCGACCCCGAACTTCAAATATGGCACGAAAGACTTGGACATCTAAGCGAGAGCGGAATCAAGGCACTGAGGGGGATGGCACACGGCATTCACCCCATTCTACGCGGACAAAATTGCGAACCTTGCATAGCTGGAAAACAGAAAGAGAGACCACACCGAAAGTCAATCCGGAAAGGGACGTATCCGCTAGAATGCGTTCATGCAGACATTGCAGGACCATTTCCAGACACAGCATATGACGGCTCGCGATATTGGGTTGTCTTCGTGGACGATTTTACCCGCATGGGCTGGGCATACGCAGTCAAGGAAAAATCTGAGTTCACAAGGCGTTTCAAACATCTCCTCGATACATACGAGAGACCGGAACGTCGATGCCATTACCTCCACGTCGACCAGGGTGGCGAAAACCGCAGTGATCAGCTATGCACCCTCTGCGATAGCAAGGGCATCACAATTTATTACACCGCGACCGATCAGCATGAGCAGAATGGGATTGCGGAGGCCTTCAACCGAGTGCTTCAAGAAAAGGTTACACCTACACTCGAACGATCAAACCTGCCGCGAAAACTCTGGCCGTATATCCTCTACGCGGCTGTGTATGTACGGAACAGGAGTCCTAGCAAGGCCCTGAACAAGACGCCATATGAGGCGTGGTTCGGAGACAAGCCAGACCTCTCCCACCTCCGTGTTATTGGTGCGAATGGATGGGCAATATTGCCATCCGTCAAGAGACAAAAGCTGCGTGCAAAGACGATTCAATGCCGACTTCTTGGATATCAAGGCTCCAGTAACTACATTGTTGTGGACAATAACAACCGAGTCTTCATCGCCAACAATGTCATCTTCGACGAATCCAGCTTCCACAAGGTACCAGGAACACCTACTGGAACAAAGAGAACGAGAAACGAAGGACCTACCTTGTACCCAGAGTTAGAACTTCCACGCAAAAGGGCAGCTCTGCCACCACACGATACCAACCCACAGGCTGAGGAGATTATGTCGGAAAATGAAACAGACACTATTCATGTACGAACATCCGAGCCTCGCCATGACTCGACCGGGGTGACAGACCAGGACGAAGAGCTCCGAGTCTCACAGAGATCAACCAAAGCAAAACTTCCTTCGAGGTACCTGCTCCTAGGAACCAATACTCTCACTAACCTCATGTGCGCCCACGTTAATCTTGCGGCTTCCGTGGAAGACGAGGCGGAGCCCCGAACGATAAAAGAAGCCCGAGATTCTCTTCAGTGGGAGAACTGGTTCAAGGGAATGACTGCCGAGATAGACTCCATTAAGGAGAACGGAGTCTACACCTTGGCAAATCTGCCACCAGACCGAAAGGCACTGAGGGGCAAGTGGGTGTTCAAACTCAAAAGGGGAGCTAATGGAGAAATCCTGCGGTTCAAAGCACGCTATGTGGTCCGAGGCTTCGAGCAACAAGAAGGAATCGACTACAACGAGACGTTTGCCTCAGTCGTCAAGCCTATGACTTATAAGGCAATTTTTTGCTATAGCCGCAGCGCTTGACCTCGAGCTCGAACAAATGGATGTCAAAACTGCCTTTCTCTATGGGAAAATCGACGAGGAAATCTACGTTAGGCAACCAGAGGGCTTCGATGACGGAACCGGAAGAGTCTGGAAACTGCGAAAAGCCTTATACGGGCTGAAGCAATCACCTAGAATATGGTACCAGACTCTCTCTTCTTTCCTCCAAGATCAGGGATTCCAGCCTCTCGTCTCCGACATGGGTGTCTTCGTTAAGAGCCAAACCTACATTGCCGTTTACGTTGATGACCTGCTCATCGCAGGTCCATCAAAAGGGAACATCGAGATGATAAAACAAAGCCTCAACCGGCGGTTCAGCATGACAGACCTGGGGCCTTGCCACTTCTACCTAGGGATGTCCATCACTCGGAACCGCAGACAGCGAAGACTGAGCCTCTCGCAAAAAGGGTACATCGAGAAAGTCCTCAAGGAATTCGGACTATGGGACTCCAAACCGACTGCGACCCCAGTGGCAACAGCGAAGCTAGAACCCGCTCATGACGATGACGAAGCTCACCCAGATCGCAAGCGCTGGTACGCTAAAGCGATCGGATGTCTGATGTACGCAATGCTAGGGACCAGACCAGACATTGCATTCGGCGTCTCCCTATGCAGCCGCCATCTCGCAAAGCCCACTAAGGCCCACGAAGCCGCAGTGAAGCGCATAATGAGGTACCTACGAGGAACCTGCGACTTCAAGCTCGAGTTCCGAGGAGATCTGCGCCCGTTGACCGGCTACACGGACTCGGACTGGGCCGGAGACACTGAGACTCGAAGGTCCACTGCGGGATATATCTTCAATGTTGGCAGCGGTGCGATAAGCTGGGCCGCAAAGCGACAACAATCAGTGGCGCTGTCTACCTGCGAAGCTGAATACATGGGGCAAACACAAGCAACCAAGGAAGCCATCTGGTTGCGAACCTTGCTAAAAGAACTACTGGGAGGTCTAAACGCCACAGACCAAATCGCTGCCACAATTATCTACGGAGACAACCAAGGGGCAATAGCAATGGCTAAGAACCCCCAATACCACTCCCGCACAAAGCACATTGCGATTCAGGAACACTTTGTGCGAGAAAAGACGGCCAGCGGAGAAGTTGAGATGAACTATATCCCAACCGACAAACAAGTGGCTGATGGACTTACAAAAGCACTTCCCAAGGACCGGTTCCAGTTGTTCCGGAAGGCTCTGGGAGTTGTCGGATCGGACGAGTAAAGCTATTCGGGCCAGAAAGGGGATCCACGCTACGAGGCTGTGCGATTTCTGGAACATATTCAACACATTGTTACCCCTAGCTCACTCCGCGAGGATCCAGTGGGAGTCTACTACCCGATTATCACATACAACGGCAGCTCGTCCAACTCACTCCAACCACCGCTAGAAGGCCAATAAATGGCCCGGCCGCATGGGTTGCAATTCCCGACCAGACCAAAGACCCAGACATCTGGCAAAAGACGACTCGAAGGCTTTGGGGGCTGTACACAGTGGACCGAAGCCGGGAAGGCCGCTGCTTGGGTTGCAAGTCCCGAACTGGGCCATGGACCTTGGTACTGCTAGCAGCCGCAGTGATTGCCAACGAGCACCAAGGACCCGTGGCTGCTAACACGGCCGGGAGCGCTGCTAACACGGCGTAATGGATCCGGCAAAAGACGACTTAAAGCTGCTTGGGTTGCAAGTCCCGAACCGGACCATGGAACCTTGGTACTGCCAGCAGCCGCAGTGATTGCCAACGAGCACCAAGGACCCGAGGCTGCTAACACGGCCTGGAGCGCTGCTAACACGGCGTAATGGATCCGGCAAAAGACGACTCGAAGGCTCGGGGGCTGTATTCAGTGGACCGAAGCCGGGAAGTATAATGTATTAGAAGCGCATATAGCGCTCATTGAGGACGATACGGAGGTGGGCTGCAGTGGGAGCCTTGTCATATCTAAGACAATATTCCCCACGCGCCCAGGACTGTGTCGAGCCTTGACGGGTCCAACAGTACTCTTTCCTCTTTCACCCACGAAGGTGTTTTAAGGTTTTAATGAGACTGCTGAGATCTTAGATAGTCTAAGTACCCACCGCCTTGCTCGAGTGGGAGTGTTGGAGATCACAAGTGTGAGGCGACCAAGTCGGTGGCAAGGTGTGGAAGAAGGAGGAACATTCTACAAGAAATCGTGCCTGTACATAAATAGTGGTTCCCCTACTTCACTTTGAGATATGAATTAAGCAACCTGCATCTTCTCATTTCAACATCAACATGATGTCGGAATCTTGCGCGCTTTTCACGTACCGTGCCCACGCCCTCACGCACGCCGATGCAGGTCAGCCCGGAATTTGTGAGCATAAGCAGCCGCCGCCCAAAGTCCCTGGGGCCGTAAAAACGGAGGGCCGCGAGCATGGGCGGACGATTGACACGGTCACTCAAAAGAAGAGCTCCCGCTGGGATCAAAACGCTCGTGCTCGTGCTACTAGTACGTATCCCTTGACCTGATGGTAACATAGGAGGCTAATACGTTATATACAGAAAGAACACTACCATGCAGTACCCACCCACCGGCATTGCCCACCTCTCCATACCCAGATGGCGCGAGGAAGAATGGCGAGTCCAGAAGAGCGAGAAGAGGACGCAAGGCCAGAGAGCTTGCGATGTTCAATGCTCGCCCGCCCAAATGATTGATCACAGCGGTTTACAGGACCAGGAAACATGTAACTATAACTATAGCATATTGTTGATCTTTACTGGGTGCAAGAAAATGGCCAATAACTACGCTTTGGTTAGATAGTTGGTTTCTAGTTTTTGGTAAAACGATGATGAACTCGCTTGCTTAAAAAAAAAGGAGATTCTGAAGAAAGAACTTTCGAACAAGTACGTTTGCTTCTATCCCTCTATATGAGAAATTCTCCCCGCGGGCTGCCGTATCCCCAGGCCAGATAATTTTGGAAATCCAAAGATCCCCCTTCGCTTTAGGGTTCAGACCAACAGTCTGAAAGTCCTAGATAATCCTAGGCGGCATTAGATCTCTTCCATTTTACTACCCATCCCGTGTCCTGGCGCTAGCGGGAGACGGCTGCGCCTTGCAGCGGCGTCATCGCCGCCGCTATTAAAAATGGCGGCATTTGGCTTGCAGAAAGCAGTAGGATGCATTGTAGCAGGCGTCGGAAATAGGACGGGATAGACGTGTCGGGTAGGATAGGCCTCCTACCGTAGCGTCCGGTACTTTAGCACCACATCAGCCACAACTAGCAAATAGAAAAATCGTAAAATAATTATAATAATAGTAACTAAAAAAAAAGGCCGTCACTAGATAGCTCTAGGATATAGACTCAACTATAGGGGCACTTAATTATTTGCTATTAGCCTTTTCTGCTGGCTATTTATATCCCTATATACTGCCTAATCTCTAGACTAATATCTATAGCTTTTTTTTCTTTTTTTTTTTTCCTCTTTCCTTTTTATTTCTTTTATCTTTTATTTTTACTTTTATTTTAACTTTTATTTTTTTTATTAGATAGCCTAGAAAATAAAACGTATATATATTAATAATAGTAGTTCTCTTATTATTAATTAGTATTATGTTATAGGAAAAGAAAAAAAAAAAAAAAAAAAAAAATATATAATCGAGGTAGCCTATAGGAGTGATATAGGGTAGGCAAATTAGCCAGGGCGTGCTGCTATTTACGCGTATTAAAGCTACCTCGCCTTAACGCGTATGTAACGCGATGTGGGATATTAGCAGAGCTATTTAATTTAGAACTAGCTAATACATAGCATCGTTAAAGTATTGCACTAAAGACGGCTCTACCCTATATATATACTAGAGAGAGATCTACTATAAACGCGGGCCTGCTATAGATCGCGTTTGTTATTATTGCTATATAGTAAAGAGCATAGATATCTTCCTCTTTCCTACTAGTTTGCGATTTAAAAGGTAGGGTCCACACAGTATTAATATTAAGGTATTAATATAATATATATTTAAGAGCAGCTTTAATGACTTTTAGAGTAATACTTTGCCATAAGCAAGGGGGGGTATTTTAGCGACTTAGGCAAGGTACTATGGTTATTGACTCATATACTATCTATAGGCATGAATTTGATAGGACGCTGGCTATACTTCCTAGTACTAAAGAGTACCTCTGCTATTTAGCCTATAATAGACCTCATGCCTAATATCGCTAACCTTTTAGTCTCTTTTTATTACTATGGCTGCTTATAAAGTAGATCTCTATACCTAAAAGTCCCGATATGCGATTTTTATAGATATACTTTTAGTATAAAGAGGAAGATATTTATCTTCTTAATTATAAAAAAAAAAAAAAAAAAAGAAAAAAAAGAAAAAAAAAAATAAAAAATTAAAAATTATATAAGTACTGTTATCACGTATCGGGGAAAAGAGTCGGTATAAGAGGTAATTGCGGCGCTCTAGAGGAGGCTAGAAAAGGCCGGGGAAGAATAGATTGGTAAGCTGGGGAGTTTTTTTTTTTTTTAGGGGGGGGACTGGGGATTAGCGTAGGCTAATAATACTGCTTGTTAAGCACCCTGAAATCAAAGGGAGGATTTTGGCTATTCCTACTACTTAGATACCCTTATCCCTATATACCCCGAAGGCAAAGGGAGAATTTAGATGCTCCCTAGCCTATGTAGACTCCTCTATCCTCTTTTTATATACCTTAAATATAGAGTAATAGATTTCAATAGTTTCTAGCTTAGACTCGAAACCAAAGCGATAATTTCGATAATTTCTGCCTAAGCTACTTAGAACTTTGTTCTACTTTTTTCGTATAGCCTTCTTGCTAAACCGATGATATTAACCGTTTCCCGGTCCATTCCTGCCTTCTTTCCTTATTATAATATGCCAAAGCGATAATTTGGATAGTATTATGGCTAATTCCGTCTCATTTCCCCCTATGGGGACGGATAAAGGCGTTCGATTTCGACGTTTTCTAGCCTACTTGCACGTAGTGCTAGTTCTGCTTTGATATATTTATAAATACCCTCTTTCCTTTCTTTTTTTTCCTCTTCTTTCCCTTTTCTTTCTTTAATATACTTCTACTAACCCACCTTAGTAATAAGGGGGACATTAATAGGGGTAGGTTAGAAGACTGAGTTTATATAATAAAGCTCGAATGACCCAAAACTAAGGCACGCCCTAAGTTACTAACTCACTTCGAGAGGTATTAAATACATAAATAAGGTTGAGATCTGCGAGTATGGGCAAGGAGGAGAATAGTAGTAGTAGTTATAATTGCTTAGTCGATGAGATTATTAGTTACTCGACTAATAAACCCGGTATAGTTAGATAGACGAGGCGGGCATAGGTGGGCATATACCCATAGCCACGTGATATCCCTATAATACTCTAGGGAGAGTAAATATAAGTGGGGTAATTCCCGAGTTTTATTATATCTCACCCGGCATAATAATGCTATAAGCGACGTGGCGCTATATCTATAGGTATTCTAGCACTGATTATACTAGTAGTATTCTGGTTTTAATGAATCCTAGTGAGCGATATAGCGCTATATCTATAGGTGTTCTAGTATTAATTATACTAGTATTATTCTAGTTTTAATAAATCCTAGTAAGCGATATAGCGCTATATCTATAGGTATTCTAGCACTAATTATACTAGTATTATTCTGGTCTTAATAAATTCTAGCAGCGACGTGGCGCTATTTCTATAGGTATTCTAGCACTGATTATACTAGTATTATTCTGGTTTTAATGAATCCTAGTGAGCGATATAGCGCTATATCTATAGGTATTCTAGCACTAATTATACTAGTATTATTCTAGTCTTAATAAATTCTAATAGCGATATAGCGCCGTTTCTATAGGTATTTTAGCATTAATTATACTAGTAGTATTCTAGTTTTAATGAATTCTAGTAGCGACGTAGCGCTATATCTATAGGTATTCTAGCATTAATTATACTAGTAGTGTTCTAGTCTTAATAAATCCTAGTAGCGATATAGCGCTATAACCCGTGAGCAACGTGGCGCTATATCTATAGGTATTCTAGCACTAATTATACTAGTAGTATTCTAGTTTTAATGAATTCTAGTAGCGACGTGGCGCTATATCTATAGGTGTTCTAGCACTAATTATATTAGTAGTGTTCTAGTCTTAATAAATCTTAGTAGCGACGTAGCGCTATAACTAGAGGAATCATTCCCACTAGGATAGAGTCTTTATCTAGTATAGCTATATATAATGAGTGATTCCTAATCCTGTTATATCTCGCGGAAATTAGTTAGTTAATTGCTTTTACTTTTTGTTATTTTGTCTTTTTTTCTTTTCTCTCTTGCTTGTTTTTTATGGCTTTTGCTTTCTCCTTTTTCTTTCTTTTCTTTTCTTCTTTTTTGCTTTTTTTCTCCTTTTTTTCTTTTTTCTCTTTATTTTTTTATATTATTTTTCTTTTCTCTTTTTTTCTTTTCTCTAAGAGAAAGAAATCAATCGACTAATCGATTTAATTAATTCAATTACTCAATTCGATTTCGATTTCAGTCGATCGATTAGAGCTACTAGTCGATCGATATCGATTAATTATAAGTCCTAATCGATCGATTTGATCGTCGATCGGGTAGACCATATATACATTAGTGGGGTATAGGGTAGGCTACCCTAGATTTTGCCTCTATGTTAATCGCAATATATCGCATATCCCATAAAGCACCCCTGGCAGGCACGATTGGTAGAGAGAACGCTGCTATTAAGTGCTTTTAGAGGAGGAAGGCGCCCCACTACCTTTCTTTTTAGGATTCTATAGCTTCGTTGCCTTATTACGTGAGGCTCTATCTGATCGATTTGATCGATTGATATTAATTAACTGAGAGGGCTGCTCGATCGATATCGATTGATTAAGGGTAATGATTAATCTAAATCAATCGATTAGGGCTCAGAATTAATCTATACGATCGATTTCGAAGCCTATTTCTCTTATTCTCTTTTTATCCTTTCCTCTTCCTTCTTATTATCCTCTCTTTATTCCTTTATCCCTAGCATATATGCTTCTCTTCCTTTGCGTCTCTTATATAACAGCTATCCATATAAAGCTTCCTAAGTTACTTATCTCGTCTATTATAAAATCGTAGAATTACTAGTAATTATACCCTCTAATTACCTTGCTAAGTAGACCCGTGCCGTAGAAAATGTCCATACTATAATCCTAGATGCCTACCTATCCGTTTTCTAGTATACTCACTGGGTGTGGTTTTTCTTATCTACCCGTCCTATTTATGCCTAATTTATGCTATGGGTGGGATAATATTACTCTTATTATATATCGACTATATAATAATAGAACGGCTGAAAATGGCTTTGTGCGGGATCGAGTTAACCCTACATATCTAATTCTAGCCGGTTCGATATCCTGGATCTATTAGTATACTCTCTAGCTAGCAAAGGCCTGTTTTGGTATATCTATTTACCTATGGTGACGGCCGAAACTACCTCTTAGCTTATCGTGGGGTATTTTCTATTAGCTAATGGTTTATATATTAGTGCTATGCAATTAAATATACCTCGCGTAGTATTTCACTTTAGCTATTAGAATAAATTTAATAAAGGATTATAGGGATATATATATCCCTTTTACTTTATAAGCGGAACTATAGAGATTATAATACATAGAAGTATTTTCTCGACTATTATATATCTATTAGGGTTAGGG